GATAATATTCAAAGAAACACAAGGTGCGCTTTAAAAATGGATGGATATCTAATCGTTCCTGAATCATGAAAGCATCTTTTAGAACAAAAAAGGAGGGGACCATAATGAATATTATCCAGTGCTATGCACCCACCTATGATAGCGAAGATGATGATAAAGACCAGTTTTATTAGAGGCTGCAGTCGAACGTAAAGTGCCTAGCAAAGGACCTGATCATCCTGGAAAGAGATAAAAGCAGCACCAACTTCAAGTACCACAAGAAGAATCATCATAAGGAACGGATCTCTATCAAAAACCTGGACAGGATTCGAGAAATGAAGAACAAGTAGGCAGAAATTAACAACAGTTGAACAAGAGCAGCGGAAGCCAAGGCACAGGCGAATGCCCAGAAGCAAACAAGTGTGTGAAAAGGAGCATTAGAACTGACAAGTAGAAATACGTGGAAGATCTAGTAATGACAGTAGAAAAAGTTGTAAGAGAAGGAAAATATAGTAAGCCAGAGAGAACAGTCAAAAACAAAGAAAGAAAGCCAATTACAGATTCGAGAACAGAGGAACAGTTGGGTGAAGCATTTTGAAGAACGTTTGAATAGATGAGGCACACTGAACTCACTGGACATCGAAGCAGCACCTAAAGACCTTCCTAAAGCAGCTAGTCCAACGACGACCAAAGATGTCAGCGTATCCATCAAGCAAATCAAGAGTTGGAAAGCAGTAGAACCGGATAACGGACAAGGTAAAGCTGATTGGTTGAAGTTAAACATTAACACTGCTGGATGACAGCTCAGTGGTCTAGTTGGTTAAGCGAATGGCGCGAGACTGATAGGTCCTGGGTTCGAGTGTTGCGGGAGGCAGGATCGTGGATGCGCACTTCTGAGGAGTCCCGTACCAGGACGAAGCAGCCGTCCAGTGCTTCCAGGTTTTCCATGGTGGTCTATCTTCAATTGACTCATGATTTCAACTTGTGAAATTTCTAAAAAAATCTCCACAAAACCCATTCTGATAATAAAGCATTAAAGTCAGACATACAAGTAACTGCAATTATGCTTCACGTTCTATTCAGGAAGATTTGGGAGGAAGAACAAGTGCCGACGGACTGGAATGAAGGACACCTCACCAAGATACCAAGGAAAATAGAACTGAGAAAATGTGAGAACTACATAGGCATCACACTATTGTCAGTACAAAAAAATTTTCAAGTGTGGCTGGAAGGAATGAAAGACGCAGTAGACGCCAAGCTTCGAGATCGACAGGCTGGATTCCGTAATGATCGATCGTGCATAGATCAAATCGCGACACTAAGGATCATTGTTGAGCAATCAATTGAATAGTGTTCGTCACTATACTTCAACAGCATGGATAAAAAAAACTTTTTGGGATTTTCTTCAACAACTTGGAGTGTTTGAGATCGTCGATATCATACAGAATTCATACGAGGGACCACACTGCAAATTGGTGCATGGAGCACAGCTGACAGATGCACTCCAAGCGAGAACTGGAGACAGACAAGGCTGCTTACTGTTGCTCTTTCTCTTTATTCTGGTGGTTGACTGGATTACGAAGACCTCGACATCTGAGGGAAAACACATAATACAATGGACAGCTCGGAATCAACTACACGATTCGGACTTCGCAGATGACCAGGCCCTTTTATCCCATACACATCAAAAAATGCAGATAAAGGAATCTAGTGTAGCAGCTGCCTCTGCATCAGTAGGCCTCAACATACACAACGGGTAAATCAAGATCTTCAAGTACAACACTGAGAACATCAACCCAATCACACTTGATGGAGAAACTCTGGGAGATGTGGAGTCTTCACGTACTCATCTGGATAGCATCATCGATGAACGTGGAGGATCTGATGCGGACTTAAAGGCAAGTACTGGCAAAGCAACAACAACAACCCTACAATTGAAGAACATATTGAACTCAAAACAACTGCCAACCAACATCAACGTCAGAATATTCAATACGGATGTCAAAATAGTCCTACCGTTCGGAGCTGAAACGTCGAGAACTACTACAACCGTCATCGAAAAAGCACAAGTATTTATAAACAATTTTCTACGAAAGATCAATTGCCAGCTGAAGAGTAAATTAGGGAGAGATGTTGGAAGTGGATAGGAAACACATTGAGGAAATCGCAAAACTTTACTACGAGGCAAGCCCTAACTTGAAAGGTATAGCTTAAAGAGGAAAACCAAGGACTTTGAAAAGAAGTTATACTTCAAGAAAAATTTTACGTGGACCCATAGATCATCATAAAGCCTCCCTAGTATGTTAAGCAAATCCAGAGGGAAAACTTGATGTAACGGGTATAAAATTGTCTTCGTGCCCATGGAGTCTGACTTTCAGCCACTAAGCCCTAGGTTCGAACCTTGCACCACCCATTTCGTTTGAGACAATCGGATAGTAACATTACCACTCATATTTAGACTGTACTGAAGTATCTGTCAAGTGAATTAACTGAAGACTATGTTCCTTATTGCCTACTAAGTAAATAGGCTTTTAAAATCGAGGATTTCTCGATAAAAAGTTAATTTAAAATAGATGTATTTTTATATAATCTACTGATTATTTAATGCATTCATAATTCATTTGATAAGTAATTTTGGACGTTGGAGAGAATTCTAACCGGGTCTTTCCAGTTAGAATATTCATCCAATTAAATGGGTTTATCTTCAGTGTGTATTCACACATCAAACTTTATATTAATCTTGACTGACTTGAATACTAGACCATACAGTGAATAGATGAATTTATCTTTTGAGATTCCTCCAGAGAACTGGTAGTATTTTAATGCTTTTTGCTTTGATGTTGAGGGAACTATTTATGATCTTCCGATAGAAATAATGGATCTGCAAACTGACTTACTAACTCGACATTTTATACAGTAAGCAATGACGTAATCTTATTTATAATCGACATTGGATAAGTTTCAGAGTCAGAAAATGTAGGATATCCCTTCTTTCTATGAATTTACATTTATACACCAGTGTTCTAATACATTTCATTAAAGAGCAATTCAGATTTCAACTAATCGATGTAACATTGGTATTATACATTACAACTATCAATAACAAAGAACTAATGAAAAAAATTGTGCATTTTCAACTTTAGTCTGATTGAAAGTTACATTTTTTATCAGTAATGACTGCCAATTTTAATTCTAGTCTAGTTTAGTATTTGTATTCATGATCATTATGTAATACAAAGTTTAGAAATCACTCATTTTAAAATGTATCACATGGTGAATTGAACACCGACGTAATCTTTGTCATAATAACATGAACTTCATATTCATATGACACAAAATAAAAACAATCTCTTTTAATTTTTTAAGATGACTTTAACATAAACTGAAATACATTTCCTTTCATATTTGAAGAAAACCATCAATAAACAAGTAATTAATCAGTTAACTTAAGATTTGAATTATTCAAAATAATTCACTATATTCAACATCTTTTAAGTGAAAAATAATAATAATGAAGCAAGAATATTTCGAAAATAAGTAGTAATATATAAATAAAATTAAAGAGTAAGTGGATTTATAAAAATGATTTTATTATGATAAAAGATTTAATCATACGATACTTTGTCTGATATGGGTGTATTTATTTATTATTTATTTCAACACATAGATAATGGTACAAAGAGGCACCAAATACATATGCGCCACACAAATCTCATTCGATATGTGTGTGAGGGCTGTGATACTGCCCGGGTGCCCAAACCGAAACAGGTGGTTTTCTTAAGGGGCCACTCCCCGAGCCTTCGACCTGAAGGTCTGATCCACAAGGCAGTGGAGCATCGTAAGGAGATGCAGTCCCATGGAAGCCGGTGACCAACAATTGATTCATTCGCCATTTGTTCCCGCAGGATACTCGAGCCCATGTGCACCAATGGTTTGGAATCCGGTTAAAGCGCCGGATATTCGCTTTTCGTCCTCTAATTTTCGTAAGCAACACCCCCGCCACGAGAAAGCAGGGAGTAGGACTTCCCTGGCAGAGGCTATATACGCGTGGCTGTGTGAGAGTATTTCGAGAGGGAGAGCGGGCTCTCCCCACTCTCGGCCGTACCAGGGCATTTGGGGGCAATATGGGTATGGGTGTATTATCAGGAAATGAATAGATTGGTGATTATTTTATGTTGATGTCAGATAAGCGCTTATTAATGATGCTAACTATATTTATATAAGAATGAAATAAAACATTAATTAATTAAATCTTATGCTACATATATATATATATATATATATATATATATATATATATATATATATATTAGAATAATAAATATGCAAATAAGTGTACATACATAAACTATGTACATAAGATTATCACATGATAGTTTGCATATAAAGTCATAAATTATAACCATCTTATAGTATACAAAAATGGATACATAAGATGATATATGAAATGTGAAACAATGTTTAAAAATAGCAATATACAATACAAGTGAGAACAATAAACATTAAGTCCAAAAAGAAAAACACAAAATATATAAAGATTCCTCTATACTCATTCATGGATATGAATGTCAATTAAGTTTAATTGTGAATTTAGGAGTAAAATTAATTTAATCCAAATTAGATATAAATGTTTGAAGATAAATGAACTACGACATTTCAGTTCAAGTTTGAATAAAACCATATATTGTACTGTTGTATAACAAAATAGGCTGAGAATAGTATGATCGAAATACAGTAAGAACTTAAAATATAAAACTCTAGTTTGAAAATTTGTGAAACTTATCTCAACAATTCTGTCAGTAGGCTTATAAAAAAAGGAAAAAAATTTAAAACAAGGTACTTGTTATTTACTTTAAATTACAACAGATTGTTTGTTTATTCAAGTTACTAAAAAATCCTAACAGTTATATCACTTTCCTTAATGGACATGGCTTTTCGTAGAACAATTAAAATCATGCATCACTCTTAAACTTCCACAGTAACCAATAAATTTTTATCAGATCGATCACATTTTAGCTTTACGGTATTAACTATAACCATTTATCATCTTTCAACTCAGGATTATTCATTTTTCTTATCTTTCCAAATGCTATAAATCCATTTGGACGCAATGAACGAAAGCTTCACTGAGGTTAGAACGAAATAATAAGATTCCAATTGTATAAGAATAATTGAGCACACAACATAGGCCGTTACCGATACAAGAAATCGAGCAGTGAATAATCATGATGCCTCAAAATCTAATGACGTCCAAAAAGTGGCAGCTATACGCTGTTGGAACTTATTCTGAATCATTCATCAATTACGATTATAGTGCTACACCTAATTATGAAATCTGGGCCTACCTATCCGTCAGATATGTAGTAACTTTAAGAATTACTGTCATGGTTTTATTTGACCACACAGATTTTAGAACTTACTCTTACGTTACCAACAAAATAAACTGAAGTAGGCAGACAACTCATATATGCAACACCACGGTTCTGAAATTTTATCATGAACAAAAAAGTATCAAATGTCCTGAAACTATTTACATGGCAGAATCCGCTTAGTGAAAAAAAGAGATAAGTCGATAAGTTAGGAAGCTTGTTATATTATTTAATTTAATGTCAATCAGAACCCAATTAATCACCCGTAAGTTACTGATGTTTAAACTAACAACGATTCTTGTATTCAACAGTAAGCAAAATCTTAGTTGAGAAGTGTTGTAGTCTGAAGATAAATTCCTGAGAAAAGCCTTTTCGTATGTAAATCAAGAAAGAACGCTACTCACATGAGAACGTAATAACGAGTACTACGAGAAAAAATCGCAGCAACCACAGGCTCATCATCCATCGCAGTCTTAACAGCAGTATAGTTCCAATTTTGTTCAGGACAATACAAACGTCATCGGCTGGTGTTGTTCAAGAAAAAACTAAACTCCACCTAATTAACAAAAACTGTTGCAATCCATGTATAAATACGAAGATGGAAGACATACACATCGTAGTGGAACCAACATCTATTGCCTGCATGCAACATTAATAATCCCCCATATAAAAGAGATCACACGCTTGTTTCTGTGCGTCAGCGATGACAGTGTATTTGGAGATATGACGAATGGTACTGGGTTAAATTCCCCCATTATATCATCTTAATTGTTTTAAATCGGTTGAAGGTTCGAGAGAACAACGCTGCAGTTTAGTATGGTAGCGGTGTGCCAGTGGTCGTTATGGTAATCTGAACTCATTCACTAAGTACTTAAATATCAGCCGCAGAGTGTAAGGGCATGATATTACCAGGTTACATAAATCAAAATAGGCTGGGCAGGTTCGCACATAGGACTTAGTGACTGAAAGTCAAACGCCGTAGCCACTAAGTTGTTGTTCTATTAATTAATAATATCAACCGTCACGAATTAAGCTTGCTTCATGTTAATTTCGTGCAGTTGTACATTAGAAAACAAACCACGTACTAGCCGCCAGCTAAATGATCCTGAAAGCACAAAGAATTCGACGTATTTCCTTCTAAAGTAAAGAGTGACGTATATACCTAACTAAATTTGACGATGACGCACTTTTAGGAAAGCTCGTTCAACCCAACAAGCACACATTGTTTATTTTATTATAACCTTAACATAAAAACTACACCCCTACCATATTTGAAAGACAACAACTGTTATTCGCCATCTAAATACGAATTAACCGGATAGAATAGTAGTATCAAACACTGAAAATAATCGACTGGTAAACAGATCAGTAGAAAGTGTGAATTATTTCAATGAAAGTAACGAACGTGCTTAACCATAGCTTTGTGTATTGTTTAACTCATGCTGTTAAATCCCTTTTAAAATGTCTGAAAACGTATCTGTAGTTAAAAAAGTGTATTCAATACAAGTAGTTAGTAAACAGAATTTTGCAAATATAAGTAATAAATCTGAGAATACCAATCCAGATGTACAAGAACAATATAACTTGAAAACTTAAAAAAGTATGACATTTACTAATTGGATAAAGAAATATTAATAATAAGGAAAACCAAATGGAGCACCCTAGGGATCAGCAAATGGTGTAAAAAGGACGCTAAAATGAACACAGGGCTAAAATATGTTGGAGAAATATAAAACACGAAATAGATGTCTTTTGTAAACGTCCTCTTAATCGCAAACGAAACTCAGAAGCTTGAAAGAAGTTTAGTAGTGATCTCCATTTGATGACGGTAACCGAAACTTCTCTGGGATATCTAAAAGAATATCTGATCCCGTAAGACTGGGACGAATTTCTTTCGGGAGCCGCTTTTTTAAATCGTAATGCATCAATATGTCTCGAGTTGCTGGGCAAGAATCTTTAAACGCATTTAGGTCATAAATATTGCGAAGATAAATCCATATATGATTCATATCAAGAGGAATATCAAAATTATGGTACGCTCTGCCTGCAACACGGACGTGTTGTAATTTGGGTGCCAACTGACAATCAACATAGGATATCTCATCACCCATAGCATAAGGCTTTGCCGCAGATGCCAAGTAACTATTTAAGCTAGATAATACTGTATAAAGAGACGTTTTATCATCGTACATTATGTACTGCATCAAACTACTATACAAATCTTCAAAAACTTTCTCAGCTGCTCTGACATCAGACGCCTTTAGGTTGTGATTGAGATCAGGACAACCTAACTTTATTAACAGTGTTTCTAGTGATTCCGTAGAAGAGATAACGAGTCCACTGGCATCCTCGCCATCTATTGTTCCTGATTTGATCCATGAAATAGGGAGATGTCGAGCAGCATTTAGTCGCACATAACTGGCAGGTTGCAAATCCATAGTCATAGGAGTAACCTGTAGCTTTATGTAACCTTTCTCAACAAGACAACATAAAGTCATGAGCCACTGTTGGCTGATTAAACAAGCTCCTTTTTCTTTTCGATCTGATAGGGCTGCTTTTAAAAACAACTCCACGAATGGTTTATCGTCGTCCGCCATTAGAGCACATGGAAGCAAATAAACTACAGATATAAAAAAGGAAAGCAATGATATAGGTGATGACATGGTTTCACATATTCAGAAACTGACTACAGGATGGAGATACATCAACAGGGAACAGCAATGTTGAAAAACGGGTCAATAGAAAAACCATAATGATAAATCTACAGTCAAAATAATGGTCCACCTCAATGTTTAAGAAATCCAACGATCTATCCCCCCCCAAATGCCCTGGTACGGCCGAGAGTGAGGAGAGTCCGCTCTCCTTCCCGAAATACTCTCACATGGCCGCGCGTATATAGCCTCTGCCAGGGAAGTCCTACTCATTGCCTTCTCGTGGCGGGGGTGTTGTTTACGAAAATGAGAGGACGAAAAGAGAATGTTCGGCGTTTTAACCGGATTCCAAACCAATGGTGCACATGGGCTCCAGTATCCTGCGGAAACAAATGGCGAATGAACCAATTGTTGGTCACCGGCTTCCATGGGACTGCATCTCCTTACGATGCTCCACTGCCTTGGGGATCAGACCTTCAGGTCGAAGGCTCGGGGTGTGGCCTCCTAAGAAAACCACCTGCTTCGGTTTGGGCACCCGGGCAGTATCACAGCCCTCACACATATCGAATGAGATTTGTGTGGCGCATATGTATTTGGTGCCCCTTTGTACCATTATCTGTGTTGAAATAAATAAATAAATCCATTGAGGGGCTTGCGAAATTACCGAATCTTCGCCTAAGTACTGATGCTTATTTATTTAAACACATAAATACTTGTGCAAAGGGGAACAAAATACATATGCGCCACACAAATCACTTGATTTGTGTTTGGGCTGTGATACATCAGTATCTCGGTCCAAATCAACGAATATCGTCCATGTTTAATGAACTTATATATACGATATTCCTAAGCCGCGACATACGAATTAAACATCTTGCATCTCTCCCTCCTATTAAAAGGAGAAAAGCCAAATGTTTAGTCTGCCACATATAGTCGTGGAATGAAATGCAGTCTCATGGAACTTGTATTCGTCACAGACTTACTAGATGGTGCCCAAGGGATAGTAAAAAGGTCTTGAGGTAATGTCAGACGTGGTTAGGGATAAAGGTTTTGATTGTGCCGTGGTTTATATTGCATGCGTTACAAATCGTATGACCTGCACTCCGGTCAAAACAAATTCGACAATAGTTATGTCTCAACATTAAATATCTCGAATACATCCCATTATTGTTAATTATTTCCCTTCTATAATACTTCAACGTAATATTAACTCGTTTCGAGGGGAATTGCTTTTGTCAACTTATGAAACGCTTTATAATTAAATAGAACAGCAGTAACTAATAAAAAATAATGAACAATGATGAAGTGTACAAATTAGGGCTACAATGCTTGGAGGATACAAAAGATTTAAGCTAGTAGCAAATTGTGAGTAATCATTCATCTTTTGGCTTCGGAAGTGAAACGCAAGTGGCCACACTCTATCCATTGACCTATGTACCAACCCCATCTATATTCAATAGTACCCTCTCTAAAATTACATTACAAGAATGATTCTGAAAAGACCGTTGCCACTGATCATAAGTAGTCTGCGGACATTATTTTTTCAAAACTATATCTTGGCTTCAAAAACAACAAACTGCTGTAACCTGGAGTATATGACACGTACCAAATCAGCTTTTAAACACTGAATGACCACTGAGTACCAAATAATTTTATTTACCTAGTCCCTAATACAAACAGCTGATAAAAGTTGACGAAAAATCTTGCGAAACAATATACGGACGCCCGATAACCTAATCCTTCATACCTTATCTGAGTTTTTTGGAAACCGGTCTACAGTATTGTTAGCTCCAATTATGTCAGACGTTTTCAGCATTTTGCCACATGTTCAAAAACAAAGAGGTCAGGAAAAATAACCAGCTGCAAGCATAAACTGACTTCATGAAAGACAAAAACACAGAGGTGAACAAAGACTTTTGCCAATTTGTGAAACCATAGGTAATTAAATTTGACTAAACAATTGAGTTCAACAAGTTAGTCCAACACAGACTCTAGAATTTACTAATTGATATGGCCACAATGAGACTTTTACGCGGAACCGTCTAATTCCTGTAAATCCCAGTGAAGGACATAACCTGTGGCATAAGAATACCCAAATATTTTTTGAGTACCCAAGTCAAAAAACTTTTTTTCTTGAAACATGTATTCGTACGCGAGTTAAATTCCCGTTAAAAATATTTTGCGCTAACAATGATAGACCGTAACTACACGAGGAAGCTCAGATGTGATTTGTTGCAGAGATATTAGCAATCAATAATCATTTATTCTTAGTTTTTGGAAACAGTTAAGTTGTGTTTAGTTGATAAGATAGCATCCTGTCAATCTTAATACAACATTTTTTAGTAAGTGCAAATTATACAGGCTAGTAATTACCATTTAAAACAAACTACTAGAGTTTAGAATACACAATAACAAACCCACCTCTTTTGAAACAAACCAGCCTCTCTTAAGTCAGTGGCAAGAATTACAATCATCAATTGAAACGTTCAAACAATTCAACACTCAATATTACTATGAGAGCCTATACGACATTTACTAATCACTGTGTTTTTTCATATTTGGATTTTAAAGGAAAATGTTTGTGCTACGTGTGATGGTAGACAAGTCACATAACTCGACATGACAAAAAAAGTTTAAGGTGTAAGCATATAGTATTTTCTGAAATTCCTGAGGATCTCTTCTTAGGTAGATGATATTGGATGGAAGTAACGTGTAATATATAGCAATGGAGAAATAACCAATCCTCAAAGAGTGTGCAAATTTTGCATTGTATGAATGATTAATTCTTTAGCATGGTCTCTGACTTTGAAAATGATATCTAAAATTCACAATTTTGGCTTGATACTCTGATAAATGACTTTGATGAAATACCGTTATTGAATACGCCAAAAAGAACTTTTCTGCTGTTGGCTACAGTTTGCAGAGCCAGAGAAATGCCATGGACCATACAAAATCGTTTGTCAGTCAGGTAATCGAATATCGAGAAATTTACCGATCTCTGTCAACGTCAAGAATAGCCAATGCGCAGTAAAAAACTGAACGCCATAGATTAATCCAAGTTGTGATGACCACATTTTTCTCCCTAAACGCACCCTACTAATATATTCATGTGAAAACTTCGTTTGTCTTGAACGGTCATCAAAGGAGACACGTGACATGAATAAAGAGAAAAGACAACAACGAGATGTAAGGTTGATCTAGCCTGGTAAGCCACGCGAGTCCTACTTGCTTCAGAGAAAGAGTGCATTATGCAACAAACGTAAGATAATCAAATTATAGTTGCTTCAGTAATTACTTCGTGATCAAATATGGTCATCAGCCTAAACGACTTTCGCAGCGTATCCAAAAAACTCATTTTTATGAGGCTATAATATCCTTTACAATGCGTTCTAATGTTCGGTTCTTATTCAAACCATGACACATGATCAACACAACTCACCATTTACTGAATCAAAATATGTACTTCACCTGATCAAAATCTATGGCTTAAAGATATTGAGGATGATACAGGTATTTAATGTTTGACAACGCTTCTACCAGTAACACCTAATATAATTTGTTCCCACCGTGAGAAATCAAAAGACAGAGTCGAGGAGATCGGAAGAGTGTATTTGGCGATTACCAATATATCGGAATTCTCTGATCTAATCTGGCTAGCGATTGCGGTAGATGTTGAGCACAGCGTTACCACACGTGATCTGCTGCGGATGCATGACCGAAGCAAAATCACATCTTTCAATTATAAAGGTGTTACGGATCAAAGCATTGTTATACTTAAAACGTCTGTCGCTTTTTTAACTGATAAAGTTGGACAACTGAATTACGGTAACTTGGTTACTGAACTGACTATATCTCATAGTTTAAAGTTTTCTGATATAGTTTTTAAGTCTGACTACAAACCTAAGAAGTGGGTTGTCTGCTTTGATTAGCCCTTAGATAAGTTTACGTAGATATAAACTGTTATTCCATCCTTACAGGTTATATCTATACTCGAAGTGATAGAGTTTTAAGTCGAAAGGGAGTAGGCATAATATTATACGTCAGGGACCACTTTCGTATACAATCAATAATATCGGAGGCGCATGTTAGTGTTACATGTGAGATAGCATGTCGCACAATTAAGTCCAGAAACAGGTTAGTGACTATAGGAGGAATATACCGTAGTCCGTGTTGTCTTGCTGACAACTTTATATTTGGACACATCTGTTCTTCAATCGCTAGCCAGTTTAGATCAGTCGATTCACGATATATTGATAGCCTATCAAATATATCTTCAAACCTCCCCGCATTTGTCTTTTGATTTTCACTTGGTGGGTACGCTTCATATTAGAAGTTGTTACTGATTAAAGCGTAGTCGAACTCCGAATACCTGTGGCATCTTCACTGGCATTTAGTATCTTTAACTAGTATTTGGGTGTTAATGTGTCTCATCTTTTTGCTCCTACGAGCACTAATAATCTCCGATGTCAGAGCAAAGAGGTCCACAATCCACTACCTAATAAACTTAAAGTGGGGTCCCGTTTAGTTCATCGAGTAGTCAATGAATGGAATGCCTTAACCGAAAGTGATTTCATTGCAATCAGTGAATATTTTAGGGAGAAGCTGTGCCTTAACTAGAAAGCAATCTGTCAGGATTAAAGCAGGTTTGTAGAACTTATGGTCTACTATGATATTAGTACTGCTCTAATAATAAACCTAATCCTAAATCTGTGGATTTGTCATGATATGACTGCCTAATCTATAAGATCTTACGTGGAAGTCACACCATCAACTACACCAACTCACTGTATCGTATCAATTACCAATACATGATGTAGAACAAGGTTAGGCTAGAGAAAGAACAATATATTTGATATGAAAAGAAGATATAAGGTAACATTCAGCAGAGACCACGCCTGCATGGCCGAGCCATGCCGTTCGATCAACTCTAGTCTATTCAATTCATTATTCGCGCCTTCTCCATCGTTAGGTATTTCTTCGCGTTAAATATTGAATACCTATTTTCCGAGTAATCTCGTATTCAGCTTTGAGGATAGTGTGGTTATGGTCCAATGCCACTACACTACTCTCCCACCAGAATCAACGTGGTGTTGGTTCGATACCAAATTGGATGGGACTGTAGTGTCCCGAAGGTTACCAAGACTAGTAATAATCCTCCGGGTGATGACAAGCTGAAAGATAAATCAAAAAGAAGACGGCAGCATCTGGTCGGGAAATACATGTAATAATTTTAAAATATCTGCCTTCATGCTTAACATGCTTACAATGAAAATTTCAGTGATTATTTGAGCTATAAAAAAATGGGATTACAATAATAATAATAATAAAACGATGCGTGTTAATAGTCGTTGGTTAATAACTTAGGTAGTAAGTATTTTGTGTTTAGAAATATTAAAGTTATGAATATTGTAGAAATGTTAATATTAGTACTACTTTTAGTCTAACTTATGCAATCAAATAACGATTATGCCGGTAAGTTGTCCATATGAGTCGATTTCCAAATGCATATGTATTAGTAGGCTAACTGAAGGAACAAAAGTATTACCGTGGAGAAGAATTCCAACTAGTGTTCCAGTTAGTTTGATACGGTTTGTTTAGTTACGGGGAGATTTTCTCAACCTCATTTTTACTTGACCGTGATAGAATTTATTAATACTACTAATACACATGAATGGTTATCAAAACAAAATTCAAATACGTGAGTGGTAATTATGTGAATTTTGGACAGATAGCTAGGAACAAATCGTTAAACATGAGTGTATTCGTAAACCACATGCTCTAAACTCAATGTTCTGATCTGCGGCAGACTATTTATTTATATCTATACTTGCCGGCTGATTGGGTATACAAGTTAGTTGAAAGTATGCAGTTTATCATAAGGCGGAACACGATTTAATTGAGATATAGTGGTTATACGTTATTGAAATTAGTTAAACCTATGTGTCATATTACTAAGTGATGTGGTGCTGCAAGGTGTATTTGGCTAAATAATTTTTTACAAGATGATTAATAGTAAGTGATGCTCATGTGATTATCAGGGAGAACATAAGTTGTAACCAAGGGGAGTGCACTCCCAACTCATGCCTATGATAATAGCTTGAACCTTAGTCAGTGTTGGGGTAAATTCGACATTGATATTTTCATTTTGCAGGAGGTTTGCTCGACTGCTTATACTGATTATTTGCATGCATGATTGTGTCGCTAGACCTCCAATTAGACTGACAAGGTTTCGAGATATTTACTGAGTGAGCATTTGATAGAGAAACATACTGTAATCGCCTGTAGTGAATGAAGATAAAAGGAAAACAACACTAGTTATAATCATAAGTCAATTTGCTGACCTATTTGTTAATAGTTTCATTAATTTTATCAATCATATTACGTGATTGTCAAGTCATGACAATGCTTTATGAAGATATCCTGAAACTATTGTGTTTAATGAGTTATAGTGTTGATTGAAGATTGGCCAGTGGAAAAATAGGCATTGTTGCTTTAGGTGATTCAAAATTATCAGAAATTTATAACGTTAAAGAATCCGAGACGCCTAATTTAACTATAAATTTCAATTTAGAAATATTTGTTTAGTGTTAATTCTAGTAGGCTACGGAGTTTTGATTTTAAAAGTTTGTTCAACCAACAACTACCTGAGGATTTAGTAATTTTACTAGTGCAGTTGATAGTACCTAACTTTTTAATCTTATCATCTAAACTATGTTCGCATTTTAGGCTGCTAATATGATAAACCAATCCATAAACCCAAATACGATCAGCAACAATGACTATGGTGGGTTTATTGATAAATGTTAAAGGCGATTCAGATGATTTCTGAATTCAAAAGACATGAAGATATAGTAAAACGTACATACGGGCCAGGTTAACATGCAGGTTGTTGACGTATATGAAAATTTAAAAATAATGAACATGAAAAAACAATTTTAAAGTTAAGACTGCTTGTGAAACTTCAGGCAGGAATATGACGCGTTATAAACATTCCATAAGAAGTTACTGCATTTAGCCTAGGGATACTTACAAATATATGGCAAAAGCAGCTAGGAAACATACATGTTAAGTACAAAAAATCATTAAGTGAAATAGTTGAACTCGCCTGGATTATTTTTGAAAATTAGATTATTCAGTGGACGACATATATAACGCCATTCGTGAGGAGTAATGATCCAAAAGTATCCACAATAAAACATGCAGTATGGCAATTAATTCCAGGGTGCTTGATGCTGTTGCCACTCGCTCAGATCAAAACAATCGAATGAATCCAGATAATTGTGTCAGCCATTGAACGAGCCATCTAAAATGACCTTATGATTGCAGGAAACTTATGGCTGAAACTCACCGTATGTTTTTAGAGAAGTGTCATCCTTGTTGTTTGGCAATGGAACTCGAGAATATGAAATTAGGCAGGCAGTGGTCGGAAGAAAAGGATAGTGCATAGTTTAAAACAGGATGAAGTGTTAAGCGAAGAAACACCAAGAATTAGATCCAGATAACTATTCAATCCTTGATTGCATTGTTAGCTAATGTATATTTACGCTATTTACAGGTCATATTTGCTAGAGCTTGATGTTTAAACAAGTTTATGTCGCTGAAGCAGGTATATGCTATTAAAGCTTGTTAACGAACCATCAAAGCTAATTAGTTGATATAGATGATCAACTTTTATTATCGATTGAGCTAGTAAGTTATGTGAACTAATAGATATAACATTACGATAATATATGTGACCATTAATCAAAGGACTATAAGAATACTGGGTTTACAAAAATAAAAACCGATTGAGAAGGTTAAGGTGGAAATAAGGTTGCGTTTCTTTAGTTGGGCTCACCAATGTAGAACTTATGGTCTACTATGATATTAGTACTGCTCTAATAATAAACCTAATCCTAAATCTGTGGATTTGTCATGATATGACTGCCTAATCTATAAGATCTTACGTGGAAGTCACACCATCAACTACACCAACTCACTGTATCGTATCAATTACCAATACATGATGTAGAACAAGGTTAGGCTAGAGAAAGAACAATATATTTGATATGAAAAGAAGATATAAGGTAACATTCAGCAGAGACCACGCCTGCATGGCCGAGCCATGCCGTTCGATCAACTCTAGTCTATTCAATTCATTATTCGCGCCTTCTCCATCGTTAGGTATTTCTTCGCGTTAAATATTGAATACCTATTTTCCGAGTAATCTCGTATTCAGCTTTGAGGATAGTGTGGTTATGGTCCAATGCCACTACAGGTTCACCGTTCTACCATTTTTATTACTGAAGACTGAAGACAGTGCATAGCTTAATTCAAGAAACGGTAAAATAACCCCTAGTGTGCTTTCACCTAAGTCGTCAGTAAAAAGTTCAGACTAGTTAAATAGTTTCATAGTAACTATTGGTATTTTGATGCCTTTGTGCGCAGGATTAAGGTCTCAAAAGCTTTTTTGCATTGCTACAGCCTTGTTTTATCTCCAATCAAGCAGTTGTTAAAATGTTTCACTTTGTAGGTCATTTATGCACGACACTACTTTGAAGTTTATTAGCTGTTAGCAATTCATATGAACTTTTTGCTTTGTTTCATCACAAGTAAAAAGCCTTATATGCCCATCCTAGGGAGGAAACCAGTCTTCAGCAAAGCAGAATGATATTCCATCCAATACATTATTCAGTAACGATCGTGAGATCACCTACTCACGGTCTTGGTTTAGGCATTTCTGGTGTACGATCTTCTGAGAACTCAAAGACAAAATTCATAGTTTCAGATGTCATACAAAATGGTCCAGCCTACGAAAAGGTCAGGTATGCTGTTGAACAGGTTTTCTAATGGACGTTTAGCAAAAACGATGAACTGATTAGTGTTAATGGAATAAATTTGAATTGCCTGAGATATTCTGAAGCCATTCAGATTCTCCGTGAATGCGGTGATGAAGCTGAGTTAAAGCTATTAAGTCGCAAAAGACAGACCAAATCCCACAATTCGCTAATTACTTCAGAAAAAGAATACATCATGCAGCAAACGTAAGATAATCAAATTATAGTTGCTTCAGTAATTACTTCGTGATCAAATATGGTCATCAGCCTAAACGACTTTCGCAGCGTATCCAAAAAACTCATTTTTATGAGGCTATAATATCCTTTACAATGCGTTCTAATGTTCGGTTCTTATTCAAACCATGACACATGATCAACACAACTCACCATTTACTGAATCAAAATATGTACTTCACCTGATCAAAATCTATGGCTTAAAGATATTGAGGATGATACAGGTATTTAATGTTTGACAACGCTTCTACCAGTAACACCTAATATAATTTGTTCCCACCGTGAGAAATCAAAAGACAGAGTCGAGGAGATCGGAAGAGTGTATTTGGCGATTACCAATATATCGGAATTCTCTGATCTAATCTGGCTAGCGATTGCGGTAGATGTTGAGCACAGCGTTACCACACGTGATCTGCTGCGGATGCATGACCGAAGCAAAATCACATCTTTCAATTATAAAGGTGTTACGGATCAAAGCATTGTTATACTTAAAACGTCTGTCGCTTTTTTAACTGATAAAGTTGGACAACTGAATTACGGTAACTTGGTTACTGAACTGACTATATCTCATAGTTTAAAGTTTTCTGATATAGTTTTTAAGTCTGACTACAAACCTAAGAAGTGGGTTGTCTGCTTTGATTAGCCCTTAGATAAGTTTACGTAGATATAAACTGTTATTCCATCCTTACAGGTTATATCTATACTCGAAGTGATAGAGTTTTAAGTCGAAAGGGAGTAGGCATAATATTATACGTCAGGGACCACTTTCGTATACAATCAATAATATCGGAGGCGCATGTTAGTGTTACATGTGAGATAGCATGTCGCACAATTAAGTCCAGAAACAGGTTAGTGACTATAGGAGGAATATACCGTAGCCCGTGTTGTCTTGCTGACAACTTTATATTTGGACACATCTGTTCTTCAATCGCTAGCCAGTTTAGATCAGTCGATTCACGATATATTGATAGCCTATCAAATATATCTTCAAACCTCCCCGCATTTGTCTTTTGATTTTCACTTGGTGGGTACGCTTCATATTAGAAGTTGTTACTGATTAAAGCGTAGTCGAACTCCGAATACCTGTGGCATCTTCACTGGCATTTAGTATCTTTAACTAGTATTTGGGTGTTAATGTGTCTCATCTTTTTGCTCCTACGAGCACTAATAATCTCCGATGTCAGAGCAAAGAGGTCCACAATCCACTACCTAATAAACTTAAAGTGGGGTCCCGTTTAGTTCATCGAGTAGTCAATGAATGGAATGCCTTAACCGAAAGTGATTTCATTGCAATCAGTGAATATTTTAGGGAGAAGCTGTGCCTTAACTAGAAAGCAATCTGTCAGGATTAAAGCAGGTTCACCGTTCTACCATTTTTATTACTGAAGACTGAAGACAGTGCATAGCTTAATTCAAGAAACGGTAAAATAACCCCTAGTGTGCTTTCACCTAAGTCGTCAGTAAAAAGTTCAGACTAGTTAAATAGTTTCATAGTAACTATTGGTATTTTGATGCCTTTGTGCGCAGGATTAAGGTCTCAAAAGCTTTTTTGCATTGCTACAGCCTTGTTTTATCTCCAATCAAGCAGTTGTTAAAATGTTTCACTTTGTAGGTCATTTATGCACGACACTACTTTGAAGTTTATTAGCTGTTAGCAATTCATATGAACTTTTTGCTTTGTTTCATCACAAGTAAAAAGCCTTATATGCCCATCCTAGGGAGGAAACCAGTCTTCAGCAAAGCAGAATGATATTCCATCCAATACATTATTCAGTAACGATCGTGAGATCACCTACTCACGGTCTTGGTTTAGGCATTTCTGGTGTACGATCTTCTGAGAACTCAAAGACAAAATTCATAGTTTCAGATGTCATACAAAATGGTCCAGCCTACGAAAAGGTCAGGTATGCTGTTGAACAGGTTTTCTAATGGACGTTTAGCAAAAACGATGAACTGATTAGTGTTAATGGAATAAATTTGAATTGCCTGAGATATTCTGAAGCCATTCAGATTCTCCGTGAATGCGGTGATGAAGCTGAGTTAAAGCTATTAAGTCGCAAAAGACAGACCAAATCCCACAATTCGCTAATTACTTCAGAAAAAGAATACATCATGCAGCAAACGTAAGATAATCAAATTATAGTTGCTTCAGTAATTACTTCGTGATCAAATATGGTCATCAGCCTAAACGACTTTCGCAGCGTATCCAAAAAACTCATTTTTATGAGGCTATAATATCCTTTACAATGCGTTCTAATGTTCGGTTCTTATTCAAACCATGACACATGATCAACACAACTCACCATTTACTGAATCAAAATATGTACTTCACCTGATCAAAATCTATGACTTAAAGATATCTTAATTGTGTGATAAACTTGAATTTAATCAAGCTACCTCTATGTTACTGTTAGGGATTAGTCTTTGTCTAAGCAACGTTTAATAGGCACAGTGTATCCATTCTGATCGTAGGTATGAACTGAATATATTTATTCGAGGCAAAATTACTTCTTTTTACCATTTCACTTACTTAATTATGACAATGGTAGAGCGTTTTGCTAAAAAATACCCATCCTACCTTACGAAACTTTAGTCACTTAGTTATGTTTGGAATTATTGCATTATCTATTAAATAAGATATTTAAGGTAAAAGAATATCTTCAACTTGATCAAATGATTCTGTTCTTAGATAAGGATACAATGGAGCTTGTGTCTATTTCCTGTGGATAAAAATAGCTGCAGTAATATTATAGGTAAAATCCCAATTAGAGTACGAAAATAATATTCAGTAATGGTGTCAAGCTAAACATGCTTAAACTAAAACTAAGTAACAACTCTAAACGTGCCCAGGTAGCGTATTTTTAATTTTTACAGTGATCAAAGAGTATCATTTTTTCGTAAAAATTGTTGGATGCAGAACTTTTATTTATCCCAAAACTAACATTTTTAGAAATTCTGTCCTAGTTATCAGTGGATTTATCAATGCGAAGTCAGGAACGTTTAAAACTATGGAGTAGATACATTTCTGCGACAAAATTCTAGTCAATATAGCTTATTCTACCATAAAAAGTGATTTGATAGGTATATATTGAGGCAACCAAAAACGAAAATTTATCTTTGATATACCTTCGGATCGGCGGTAAACTGAAGATGATGATCCGTAGCTCGACTGAATGAAAGGGCTTCTAAAAATATCTTGATAGTTTATCTTTACATGGTTTCTGATGCTGTATTCCTTTCTTATTCTGTATTTGTAAGACAATCGTCGTCGATACCGTAGGGGATCTTTGTATTTTACGCTTAGAATTCGTGTTGCTTTCACTGACATTTGGTGATATTTTTATTAGTAATCGTTAAATTCCATATATTCACCAGCGATTGTATTCTTTGTGTAGATTCGTCTGGCATTTGGCAATAATGTCAATTAGTTTTTTATCCTCACTTAATTGGACTCAATTACTAAATTCTACATACTTTTCGTTTTAGATTGACATGTTTTACAAAGATCTTTGTAGTAAAGTTACATAGACAGATAATCCTAAATAGGTGAAGTCCTGGGCGATAGTATAAAGCTGAACAGCATTTGAGATAATGACACCATCACTCAGAGACTAAAACCATATTTTAATAGTACATCCGGATATATGGTTCACAAATGAATGTGTCACCAGTTAACTAACCTGTAAGTTTTAGTATAGGATTTGAACTTAAAATATAGTGAATACTAATTTAAATTCACTGACTACTTGATTCGTGCGTACAAAAACCTAACAGAAATACAAATGCTTCTACCGTGACTGGAACATTTTTGGTGCCTGTAATTTTGAAATCATTTTCATTCAAGTGGTAAAATCCTCTTAAAAATGTTTTTATAACAGTCCTTTGATTTTTATGAAGATTCAACTTGACGAGATAAATTGCAGTATTGTAATGTTTCTTAAAATTCAAATATTTTGATTCCTGACTTGTTTTTACTTCATTTATCCGATAACATAAAAATCAGAGACAATTTTAAAATTCTTGATTTGCTAGCAAACTATATTATTAACTTTTACAGCCGTTGCTGAACTACATCCAACGATATTTTAGTTGTCGTTTATAGACAAAAGATAAATTTAGTCTGATTTCCAAAGCTTTTAGAAAGACGGTTTTCTATCACATTTTACACTAAACCAAAGTGACCACACATTCGAAATCAAATTTTATGTCACTTGATAATAACGTAGAATATAGACACCATGATTCGACAATAAACTACTTAATTTACTGCCTTCTTTCCAATTTCTGCGCTATTTTGCTTGTAGAATTCTTTGATTAATGTATACGCATGAAAATATGATTTTTCACACACAGGATCAAAGTATCTTGGAAGACGTGGGAAAACTAGCACTCATCTCTTTCCTGGTTGCTGATGAAAATTGTCTAAAAAATCGCATTTTCATGACCGGAAGTTCTATTCTCTTGATATGTTTCTGTGCTGCTGAGCATCATGAAAAATAATTTATCATCCAATCAGTATAGCTGCTTTTATTTTTGAGAAACTAAACTTTTTATCAGACCCAAATTATAAGAATAAACAAGACAAACTTATCACTAAGTTAGCAGGCTGAATGATCATTCCAAGATGCTTAAAGTATTCATACACTCAACAGCTTATTTTTGAATGTAAACAGTTTCTTCAGAAATGACAGGTTAGATTTTTTAAGATGGTTATGTAAAAAGAAGGTTACATTAAAAAATTCTTATTCGGCAGTAATCTCAAAATAGCTTGGTACATTTCGAAAAATGTTATTCTTGACATGATAACACCGTTTGCTATTCAGATATAAGATATAAATATGCTATTAAAAGGCAGTATAAAACGGCGAAAATAAGTGGCTGGAAATTACAGCTCTCAGGTAACTTATTTCAAAACAATCGCATTAAACTGTACGTCCCCATATCTCATGCGTGTTAATTTTAAGAATAAATTTTATTTTTATTTTTGTTAGAAAATTTCCATCGTTGGGAGAACCACAAAATAATTGTGAATGTTTGCAAAACTATCAAACTCACTGTATGCATCCGATGAAATATTGCAGCGATACCGCTTTATGGAATCCCAATTCTATGTCCGACGAAAACTGTCCAAGACTGATAGAAATACATCTCAAAAGAAGGAACGCAGCTGAAAGTATATTGTTTATTTTTAATTTTAATGTTGTAAGACCTTTTCATAGTTCAAATATTTGACCGTTCATAAACTAGATTTCAGTGAGTTGAAAATCTTCAAAGAACTCTGAGAACCTGACAAATGTTATTTTTAATATCCAAAGAACGGTTAGCATAAAATTAGGGACTAAAACCGATGATAAATAATAAGTTCAAACTTGTTACTTATAGTCGGATTCAATGAAAAATGGACTGCACTTGTTTAATCCCATAACAATCATAATTTGCCTGGATTCTCCACATAGAATTTTGTAACTTGAAAAAGGATTGTTCCTGCAACTTGACATCAGCTTGAAAATTAAGAAATATTGTCTTTTTGTATCATGATTTGTAACCAGCCATCGTCTCTAATGAGACTTAGAGCAGGATCTTCAAGTTTTTCACTACACATCATAAATCTAAGCCACAAGCCAGGCTTTAAATAGTATTATAGGTGAGTTTTCATGTCGAAGATTATCTCTAAATTGGCTATAAGTTCCTGATAAGTACGTAAAATCCCCTTCAAAATTTAATGAAATACTGAAATGAAATAGTGTTTAAATTATCAATCTTAAAATTAATGAGGAGATTATTCTCTCATATTTACAATGTGTACTCACCTAGTTTAAACGATTAAGTCCCCATTTTTATAGTAGAATAACATAGTAATGTTAACCTAAACTTGTGGTTATATGTAACTTAAATTTAATGCTTATATATAAATAATATTACTAAGGAGGACTTGTGAATACCGTAACTGGGAAATTGTTTAGAATATTAACTTCTGTGTTTGTGCAATAGTTGGGACAAAGCTTAATTTTGTCACCCATCAACATTTAACTAAAGAACCTTCAATGGTCAGTACTATTTATTATTCTTAATTCGCATTTTGATCTTGCCAATTATTCGCTTGTTAACCTTGACTGCCTTTATATGAGTGTATATGTCCATCGCCTACCCAATTCATCGCATGTCTTTAACTTATTTTTGTCTTGCTATAAATATTGAGTCACGCCCTGTCAAACTGAGTTGACAGATTCGCCTTCACTTATCCTTTTAAACTAACCAGTGTTCTAAAACATGTACCACCTGTTTACTGTTGTGCGAACTTCTTCTGAACATTTAGAATTGTAGTAACTCATCATCAGAATTAATTAAGGTAATATTCGGCGATTCAGACAGGAAACACATTGATGAAAGTGTTATCAGAACCATATAACATTACATTTTAATACTTAATCACATGATGTACTCAAGTGGTTATGAAGTCATGTATACTTTGAAGATTATTTAAATCAAGAATAAATTTAGCCTGAAAATCAGGAGCACAGCGACCCTATTCTATTTCATTTGGTGCTGAAAATTAACTCTGGATTTTTGATCCCACCTTATATCTAATGATAGGTATAGGAAGCCATTTAGTTTAACATCACTTAAATGGTTTAGTGAACTAACTATATTGTCAAGCTGAGAAAAACAAAGTTTTTAATATTCAATGGTGAATAAGATCACGGTACTAAGGATTTTATCTATTGGTCTAACTATTTAACATTGTTATTATAAGTTGCATCCACCAAACTAGTTTTCAAAATACCTTGGAATCGCAATTCCTTCACTTTAGAGACAGCTCTTTACCGATTAATGTAAAAGTTCATGTATCATGTTTTCTTATCCTGTTGTAGTTCTATATGGTTACTACATATCATACACCTTTAATGTTCAAATAATAGGTTTGGGTGTAGAACTTTTGAGTCGTTTGACGGTGGCTTCTGTTGATGAAAATAGTTTGGGGGCACAGGCTGGTCTCGAATCCGGTGATCGTATTATAAGACTAAACGGAATTAACACTGCTCATTTAAGTCTCATTGATACCGCGAACATGTTACGTCGTCAAGAAACCGTACTTTTGGTAGCGAGGGATACTTTAATGAAACAAAATCATGTTTATGATAATTTTGGTACGACACCTTTAGTAAATTCATCAAGTGTTCCAGCCAATCTCTCTAGTTTGTTAAATCACCAGCTTGGGAATGAGAAAAGACAGTATCAAGCATCACAACCAAGGATGCATTCTAATAAATCTTCGAACGAACAAATAAAGACAATGCATTTTGAACAAGCATATCACAGTGGATGTCACACTTATGAAAATTGTGAAGGCTGCCAAAGTATGTGTGAAGGTAAATAGAAACTTTGAAATTTTCCTGCTACATATAAACATTAGGTGATTACAGTTTAATAACTGTACCATGATAGTAACTTACTGGATTTCTTTGCATATTTTAAACAACTGAATAAAATATATATCTATCAATTTTTAAGATACTAAAATCATTCAGATTATTGACAATTAGCTCACAAATCCTAACTTTGAAGATACACTGGAGTTTTATTTTGTTTTTTTAAGTAGTAAGTGTGCTCTATACATAGATTTATTGTTTGTAAGCCATAGTTGATAAAGAACTAGATATGAAGGGTTCTTTTGGAGATTAAAAAGATGCTTATCCTATTTGATGCATGGGTTTTATGAACAAGTACTTGACCAGATGGTGAACACTGCAGTGTGCTACTAAACTGAGACAAATGTCAGTAAATTCCCGGTTTATTTTCCGTTACCTCATATAATATCAAAGCTTTCTAAATAATTCAACGGAAAATAAGGTTTTCTATGTCTGATTTCTGTTCAATTCTAATTCAAACTCAAGATCAACAATAAGAAACAAATATTTCATCTTGTTCTTGTTTGTGTTAAAATTAACAGTGATTTGAATAGACCAAGTCTTTCAGATCATAAGCATCGAGCTCAACGTTCGTTCAACACAATTAGTGACAACCGTTTCACTTTTAATATATCCAAACCTCAAGAATATTATGAAGTAAGATACTAGTGAGCTGACTATTAGAGTGTGATTGAATTCTATGGAGATTAGTTTAATCTACAGATAACCTAGAACAGCTCAGTTAAATACAACTCATATACTTTGCTTTGGAATGTACGGTTTGTCTAAAGACTAATAACATCATTCAATTATTCTCAAAAAGTGCAGTAAATTAGGTAGTTTGAAAGGCTGCATATTACAATGCAAATAATATATTATTCCATCTAGAACACTTCATTTGTTTTGAAGATAACTTATTAATATTGATTTATTTCATCAACTTTGGATGACTAAGTGAAAGCGAATGCTTTTAGACTAATCTACAGAACTGAATTTCGTAAGTTCAATCAATTGAAGTAATGAGTTAGATTCATGAAATAACCTGTTGAATCTGTTAATGTAATGTTATTTTTATTAATTTTTTTAATGGAATATGAGCATATTCATTATACTTTTCTATACAAATATTTATACTGTTCATTATTGTTTGTACATATTTTCATCATACTCATTGATAGTTCACAATAGTAACTTTGAGAATCCATTTATCAAAAATTCTAACAATTGGATACAATCTCAAATGAATACTTCTAATATTTGTGACAATCCAATTCAACACAACTGTATACAACATAATGTATCCAACATAAAAAATCATGAACGTTTAGAATCAAATCGAAATCTAAAACCACATAAAATGTCAAATATTTATTCACGAGAATTAAATGGTCAGCATTGTCCAAATTTATTGAAAGAAGACAAAGAACAATTGTTGAATGTGTTTAACTCACCTAAAAATATAAAAGTAACACTTCAATTAAACCAGGGTAAATGTGATATTGGCTTGATACTGTATGGAGGTAATACAAAAGGAGTTTATGTAAGCAAAGTGATTCCTGATTCTATAGCTGACCAAGCAGGAATTAGTGAGGGTGACAAACTAGTAAAAGTAAGCTAAGTTTTGTAAAAAAAATATGATAAGACTATAATTTATGGACGACCTATGAGCTATGCTGAAGTGATCTTGAGACAGCTCACTTACTGAATTCAAAAGAGTTATAAATTAATATGAAGAATTGGGATTAGGATTTAGAATAAGAATTTAAGGTTAGGAATTAGAGTAAGGATTTTCATCACGAACTGACTTCAGCCGAAATGCTATTTCACCACATCGATGAATCCATCTTGCGCCAAAATCGTAAGCTTTTTATCCTTAATTTCATTGATTCGTCCATATATTATTGTCTCATCAAAAAGATTAGACCACTTATTAGTTCAAAATACTTCTAACAAAATAGAATAACATTGATTATGTTTTGGATGGCGATTAGCGTCTATGGTACAGAGTTCACGCTTCTTTCGACTTAGAACCCATCCATTAAATTTAAATACTCCCAAATCTTGATTTTGATAGTGAAGCAGTACACATCGTTGCAAACATTAGAGCGTTATTCTAAAGACTTTTGAGTCACGACAAATATCGAATTGCTCAAATTGTATGATATTTATTATTAGTTTAATGTGTTTATATTTATACGATATTGGTATTCAAGACTAGATTTGTTCACTCTCTTAAGGAACCCGTATACCAACAGCATGATATATTGATAAAGAAGAAATACACACACTAACACATGATTAAGGTTAGCTTCTTTCACTGTTCTATTGAGCACTCAATTCTTCAATACGATAATTATACAGTGTAAAAAATTTCAACCTTGAGAGTCATATACGTCCAGTTAAGGGGTTTTAAATTAGACGAAATACTCATCCTAAATTCCAATTCAGTCTATAAGTCAGGAGTAAAATGTACAAAAAAGTTGTTTGTATTTACTGATACTGAACGTTTTATTCATGCTGATTTATACAAATATTGTAAACAATTTTTAATGTGTTAACAAAATTCCTCACAATATAATTATACCTAAGAAATACATCTTCATAGTATCCCGTATGTATAAACTTGACTGCAACATATATTTCTCGGTTTATTTTTTAAATACCATTTAAATGTGATATAAAATGCCGAATTCGCACTTGCCGTTTGCATTTTACAAGTTAAATTCCTTACGTTCAAGAATGACTGAAAATCTCACTTAATGTCTTCCTCACAGATGTATTCTCTTACTTTATCTAAACATTGACACTGATTCTATTGTCCGGAATGACAATGAAAGCTTCACAGATAAACTATCTAGCTTAGAGAACACGCCAGTAAAATTATCTACTACCAACAAAAGAAATTCAAATACTCTTTTTCTAAACAAAATATCTATATGTTCGATTATTGTATTTTATTTTCACCTTTTTCAGTTAAATGGTACAGATCTAAAAGGATGGACTAAAGAGGAAGTATTCCTTGCTCTTATGGCTAGTGAGAACAAGATGATACTTGAACTACTCCATGATCCGTCTTCATATCATAAGATGCTTAAAAGCGAAATTCCTCATGAGAGCTTCTATGTAAGAGCTTATTTTAATATGAATCAATATATTTCTGGTTCTTCTGCACTCATGTCATCTGTTAAATATTCTGGTCTTTTTATAGTAAAAGGGGATATATTTCATGTTCATGATACCCTATTGGATAATGCACTTGGAACGTGGCTGGTAAGTCGAACATTGACTTGTTTTATAACAATATAATCTTCAGGCAGAGATAGATAGTGGCTAGTACTGGAATCTAGGACACGCATTTCGTCATGTCTGGGGTTGATCAATTGAATCCCCTTATATCCTGATGTTAATGTCTAGGACTCTAACCTAGTGCCTTTTGAGTTATTCACTTAGCTGCCAAGTCTTGGTAGCTACTGCTAACTGTGCATATAGATGCTTGTGACTGTTGGCAATATAGAAGCAGTGAGGCCAAGATGCACATATACAAAGGAAACTGACTCATTGCATTCTTCGACACCAAAAACGAGAAGACTCAAACTCATACAACCGAATTTAAGTTTTATTATCTTACATTTCTATATTTTGTTATGCATTCAGTGATTTTTTTAATCTTGTGTCACCACAGCTGACCTGAGAAACAGGATAGATTTTGTTGGTGTCATTCTTCTTGAAAACTTCTGTTAGTAGACGATTATCTTTGCTCCGTTAAGTCAGGAATCTTCCAGATATCGGAGGCTGGAAAACATAAAAGACATAACACGTTTGATGTTCACGTCGACTCAGGAGCCCAACAAATTTTCATAGCTGACAACTTTAGTATCTCGGTTCGTTTATTTATTAGACAGATCACGTATGAATGATATATATTGTCTAATTATTTCTTTTATAGTGTTGTTTTGAAGGTAAATATCGAGCTGTCCTAATGAGATATTAAAATTTTATTTTTAAAAACAAATTTTATAGGCAACAAAAGTTTATCCGAATACCAGTAGTATTGGTCTTATACCAAATGAACAAAGAGCGCAACGTTTTATTTCAACTAATCAGTTTCAGGTAATTGCGATTAAAATAACTTGAATGAGTTAACAAGTATGATTATTGATTTGAATTAAATTTTATTTGAAGCTCATTTTTGACTAAAGCTATATTAAAACGTAAGACTACCCACTGAATGATAATGTCAAAATAATTGACTGGGATACGATTATAATCATTTGCTTGTTACTGTAAAACAACCTCATAATGAAGTGAGTTACATTTTAGAATAAATATACTTAATATATGCCCTGGTATGGCTGAGAGTGGGGTGGGCCCTCCCTCCCTCGCGAAATGCTCTCACACGGCCATGCGTACACAGCCTCTGCGAGGGAAGTCCTACTCACTGCCTTCTCGTGGCCGGGGTGTTGTTTACGAAAGTGAGACGACGAAAGGCGAACGTCCGGCGCTTTAACCGGATCCGAAACCGATGGTGCACATGGGCTCCAGTATCCTGAAGAAACAAATGGCGTATGAACCAATTGTTGGTCACCGACTTCCATGTGACTGCATCTCCTTACGATGCTCCACCGCCTTGTGGGTTAGACCTTTAGGTCAAAGGCTTGGGGTGTGGTCCCCTAAGAAAATCACCTGTTTCGGTCTGGGCATCCGGGCATGTCACAGCCTCCACACAAAGGGTGGAGCATATATATTTGGTGCCTTCTTGTACCAATATTTATGCGTTCAAATAAATAAATAAATAAAATATATGATAGTATTACATTTGAACAACTATGCAGTACTTCTATTTGCTATACGTTTTAACAAATGAATTTCATTTCTTCCTCTACCCGTCTGGTGTACGTGAATCTCCCTTATTAATTATATCCACTAAAAAAAATATAATCCCAAATATGTCAATAAAATAAAATGAATGTAAATCTAGACAAATCAACTCACATAAATAGTTTCATGGACTCGATTAATATGTGGAATATTTTTACCATTAAATATTGTTATTTTAATTACTTCGACAAATCATGAAATATTAGACCATTTCACTATAATCCATTTTTGCTGTTAGTCACTGAGATTTGCAAGTTCAATGTTTCGAGTTTAATTAAGGATAATTTGTCTACAAATCTTCGGGGAAAATATAAACAGCTGTAATAAACGAAGTATGATTTTATTTGAGTGTCTCCACTAAAGGTTCCTCTGCACTACAAACTCATTCCGGTGTAAAAAGGGTCATAAAACAGGTCAGCCAATCATAATCAGCTTAGATCATGACACATATATGGTTTGACCCAAGTTGTCATGCCACATTAACTAAATCAAATGGAAATAATAAGATGAATAGTGAAGGAGATCTAAAGGCATAGGAAAAATGAAAATGACTAAATGTTAGGAATATGGTCCAAAAACGTTCAGCAAAAATGTTTGTATAGGGGAAAACTAGAGCTCAATATTTAGCGTAAGATATAGTGTATGAATTTGGGTCACTGAATAAATCCGAGCTATGTCATCCAATGTCCTCAACCACCGATGTGTGTTTTTAACAATAAGTTAGCTTTTTAAAGTTAGTTGTTTACGTAATATTTAGGATAATTTATTGAACGATTATATGAACCATGTTCATTTAACAAGTCAATTTGTTGAAGTCACTCAATTTGATTCAGAATCATCACTCTTTTAGAACTGAAAAACAGTCTGAAGAGAGAGACGTTTCCACTATCTCCACCTTCAAGCTATACAGTTATAAATATATAGGCTGCATTACAAAATACGGTACAAGGCATAGATATACCAGTTTTAGGTAAATCAGTCAGTGTTTAACATTGAAAGTGATCAACTTAATGTTGATAACACCTACAAAATACTATTTATAAAACTTACAGTTCATAGTAGAAGTGGTAAAAAAAGCTATAAGGTGGTGAGTTATAATCTGTATAGTAAAAAGTATTTTAATATAACACGAAATAGAAGTTATGTTATCTCGGATTATTGTGATAACTATAGTAGTAATGTGGTGTGTGCTACTTATATTGACATAAGTAGCATATGATGTTAGTCGTGAACAGAATGTCTGACAGCAGAGAGACAAGAGGATCGAACAGTAATGAATGAAAGCAGAATGCAATTTGTATGAAAACGCAGGAATAATGAAGTATGAGTCATTTTGAGACAATTGATGGACATTTTGCAAATTAAAAATTTACTATATGATTGTTAGATTATATTAACAGTCCTGTAATTTTGTGTCAGATACATTCGATTGTCCCCACTGGTGTTCTTGTTCACTACAGTAACATCATGTGAATTAGAAAATACCGATTTGCAACTAGAAATCTAGAGGTCAAAGATAGGTTTAAAAGAGGGTTAGTGGTTGTGGTTTATGACATCTTTTGACGTAGCCAACTTGGTTAGGAGTGGTTTGACTCTGTTATAGACAAAAGTGTATAAAGAAGTTGACTAAACATACTTTGAATTCACAAATTATGTTTCTTTGAGTGAATCTCAATATCGTCTGCTAAGTAGAAGAGAAATAATCTGAAACTCTATGGTAAAGTATTCTATGAAATATTCGGAACTAAGAAAGGTTTCTGTATGTTCGTTTCGATGTTTGCTACTGATCATCAAAAGATAAGCATGATTAACCATAGATTTGGCAAATGCATCACATCGTTACTAAGTTGATAATTTTTTTATATTTTTAGGAGAATCCTCAGGAATCATTTTCTCCTCCACCATATGAAAGAGTTATACAACTGGATAAATTTCCTTTCCCTCGGCCAGTTGTAATTTTTGGTCCATTATGTGAATTGGCACGGCAACGTCTCACACAAATGTCATCCATAATACCAACTAAACTGGATTATTCCATTGAAAAACCGATTAAATTCATTATTCCACCGATTAGTTCATCTTTTACATCTAACAATATCAATAATAGTAATAACGTCTATTCAATAAATGAAGAAAATAGTTATAATAATAAACCATTAGGTTTGATAAGATTGAGTGCAATAAATGTAAGTTATTTTATTACTAGATTGTGTTTCACTTCTAATTAAATATAGAATTATCATTAAATCGTCTTTCAGAAAATCAAAGCACTGAACAACTTTGTAAGTGTTTCACACTCTGAAATCCATAAAGACACGTTGATAAGTATAGACAAATATCCAATAAAATGAGTAAAAGAAGCGATATAAATGGGGATTCAATGATACAAAATTCATTTTACTTGTAAGGGTTTGTTATTTCCCGTTGTTGATGTTAGTGCATAGAACTGATCAACATCTATTAACAGATATGCATCCTCAGTAGAGTGACTCGATATTACCATTTAACTAAACATTTTAATGAAATGCGGAATCATTGCACAAGTTAGTCGCTATTTGAACTCAGAAGCTTAGCAGATAATTCGTTAAGCGTCAAGAGTGCAATATTCTGAGTTTCAGTCGAATATAAACCCTGAGATGCAGAAAAAACCAGCTAATATGTCTTAAATTGAACGAAACGAGCCACCTGGATTCCACTGCTAGTTACTGTCCAACCTTGATTGTGCAGAGGCTCGTTAAGAGTTTATTCTGAAATGTTGACCTACTACAAGACACTGGATTAATTTGCCTTATTTACGCTTAAAATTAATTGCCTCCTAGTGCGTTTGTATTGAATAATCAGTCCATTGCTATTCCCTTTAAACGCTATATTCTTTATTGATCTATGAACTGTTTTCTGACATTTGTTACAATACCTGATAAACAACTACTTATTCAGTATTTTCAAACAGTTCGTACAACATTATTTCATTGATTTTGTATGACTTTAATTAGACTGTCCAATACTTCTCAAATAATTTATGAAACTTAGCCCCTTGAGTAACTGTTACATATTTTTGAAACAAAAACTATAGAGTTTCTATGATTGCAAATGATATGCAAATAAAAATATCTCTACTTTCTAGCAAAATTCATTCCAAGCTGATCAAAATTAATTCGGTGAGGACAGTTAAAGTAACAATAAAAATGACTTAGTTCCATATTGCATATTTAGATAATGGTTCGAATTTATCACTTTTAAGTAGATACTGTTTAGCAGTATTTCGTTTAAATTACTGATTAGTGGTTCACTTCATTACAAAGCATAATTCAAAAAAAACATGGCAGTTATATTCACTTCCTCATAAACAATAATTAATTTATAGTTGTAATATGATTTAATGATACCTTTCACTGTTCATCTGGAAAGATGAGTATGAGTATGTCAACATTCTTGCCAAATGTTTCCTGTCATTCAAATTCAAAAAAATCTTAAAATAAACCAAAATCCGGAATGATTATTCATATTTAACCAGGTATCTCAATTACCTTTCGTATATAAAGTCCTTTGTCGTTGATGTGCTTTTAAAGATAACAATTTCCTCATCTAGATTTCCAAGGGTTGAACTTCTACCGGGAGATCCACTATTTGACTTAGAATATGCCGATGACATAGTTCTAATTGGTGAAGACGCTGACAAAATTCAGAGTCTTCTGACCACTATTAACAACAATGCTAGCTTGTTCGGTATGCGATTCTCCCCCTCGAAATGCAACATGTTGCTTCAGGATTGGGTTGCATCGACACACAAACTAATGATAGGGGGTGAAGTAGTTGAGCGTGTCGACCGCTTCACTTATCTTGGAAGTCTCATCAGCCCTTATGGTCTTGTGTGACAAAATCTCAGCATGGATACAGAAGGCTCGATTAGCTTTTCCAACTTCCGTCATTTATGGCGTAGGTGAGATATCCGTCTACCAACCAAAGGACGGGTTTACTGCGCAGCAGTTCGCTCCGTCCTAGTTTATGGCAGTGAAACATGGCCAGTAAGAGTAGAGGATAGTCGTAAGTTACTAGTATTCGATCGTAGGTGTCTTCGAAACATTGCTCGTATATCCTGTGAGTACCGAGTAATGCAGTTGTTACTAGGTCAGAATAGCAAATCAATTGATGAAGTAGTGAATCTTCATCAGTTGAGATGGCTGGGACACGTGTCACGTATGCCCAACCACCAACTGCTTCGACCTGCGATGTTCAATGGTGTAGGAGTAGGTTGGAAGAAATCTAGGGGTGGCCAGACCAAAACATGGAGCAAATTCATGAAGTCACTGACAAGTGGACTGAGTCATGTTGGTAGATGCAGACTACCTGGTTGGAATCCGTGAGATGATAACAACCGATGGCTCAAAATCTTTTGCAATGGTGCAGGTGCATCCACTCTTTATGTTCTCCCAAATTCTAATCTTTTGGGTTCTTCATTTCCCTTTTTTCCTCTTCCCAAATTTGTTTCACTGGATTATACTCTTCAAATAACATCTTCAAACCCTAATCTTTCCGATTACTGTTTATACTCTTGCCACCTCTACTACTACGGGATTTGAATGGACGATTGTATTTCTGTGCTAATGTGGTATGGCAACTCGAACGTAAGTACGTACGTACGAAGTTTTACGTTGTTACTAAATGGCTGACCTCTTAGTTCAAATATTTTCAGCTTGATAATAGCTAATCATCATCTGTAAAATTATGAGACCTCTAGAACTCATTGTTCTTATATGAAATTTTAACATGGTATTACATAAAAATTAAATAATCCACGGACTGTTTGGTGATTGAGATTTGAGCAGTCATCTGATTAAGAATAAACTTGTCATATTTTTACTTTATTACTGTGTGAATAATTATCTCATATCTTTTCTACTAATTTGTTTAGTAGGTACATGATTATTAATGAAATTTATAAATTACGATTTAGTTAATCCAACTGATACTCCTACTGACTGACCGCTTATCCGTAGGCGAATACAGTTATCCAGTGAAAAACCGTATTCTTTCTAGGCACAAAATGAGTACAATTTTTGTTTTTCATCTACCGAAACAAAACTATTCATTTTATAAAAATGTTCAGTGACAACCAAAGAAACTCACTGATTTATTAGGTAAAATAAAAACTTTTCTGCAAAGGAAGTTTTCGTATTGACGATATCATTTAATGTTAATGATGTATTAATTCTTTATTTTTATTACATACCGCCATATGTAAATAATAACTACAAATACAATTGTGTATCGCTTTGATAAACGATTTCGTTGGTAAAGAAACCTTTCGTCGTTGTAACGTCTTCACCTTATTTAATATTCAACTACATAAGTTTACTAAGGATCCGGTTTGTGTTTGAGATAGTTTTATTGTAATTTATTAAAAGGCAATCGACTATTAAAACGAATTATTTTAATGATTATAGTTCTTTCAGATTAGTATAATGAGTAATGTTCTCTTTCCATGTTATTAAACAGGAGTGCATGAAAAGAGGTTACCATTGCCTTCTGGATATTGGCCCAACAGCCATTGAACGACTTACTATTCTCGGAATCCCTCCAATAGTGATATTAATTAATCCATCATCTGAGTATCAACTAAAAGTTTTATTAAAACACTATTGGCAATTTAACAAAACATCAAGTGCTTTATTCATTCCATCAAGAGTATCCACTCGTACACGTCCTACCATCAAAGAGATGGTTACAACCCTATGGAATTCTGTAATTTATTTGCGTCAATATAAATCACATGTTATAACCGATACTGTGCCACTGTTAAACATTACTTCAAAGGAAAATTCTTTTTCAGAAATTGAGTGGTTACGAAATTTATCTGAAGTTATAAGACACCAACAAAATTCACCGGTAATCAGGAATTTTGTCTTCATTTATTTGCGTTTACAACTTTTAAGACATTTTATTATCGTTAAAGAAATATTTTTATTCACAACTGGCTTTCCTAATCACTCAAAGTGAATAAACTGTTGATTAAGCAAATTGTTATGAGTTTGTGAAGATTTCCAAATTTCTTATTCACCACCACGAACTGATCTAAGTTGAACGAATACTGAAAACCAGAAAGCAATAGACAATCATTCCATCCCAGTATGAGAATTCTCAGACATATGCGACATCAACCAACAAATAATCTAAAACTGAACCTTTATTGACGCTTAATATGCATATATTTGTATACTGATTCAGTAGTTCTAGGGTAAAGCATTGGCCATGAGACTTGAAGGTGTTGGGTTTTGTCACCGATAGGGTCATGTGCGGGCACTTCATCAAAATTCCTTTAATAGTTCTAAATTATGGGTCGTAATCTGAACTGCTAAAATGCACTGACCTTACATGTTAGAATATATAATTGAATAGTTTTTATTTGTCTTCTTTATTTTAGCATCACCAAGTAACGTATACATAGAATTAAGCCGATTGATTTTCACTGATTAAAATCAATAGGCTTATACTTAATTGATTTATCAAGATTATTTTTCTTGATGATAGTTTCCAGACACCAGATGAAATTAAGCAAGTATTTTATCAATGCTTGTCACTCTTCTATTCATGTTTTCTTTGTTTTACTACAGGTTAATATTATAACTTATGGCATTGTGCCCTATTAATACATAAAGTAATGATACCGTGATTTATCGATTGAACCAATGATGTATAAAACCTATACGAGCAATCTAGAGTCATTATCGAAATCATGGAAATCATTTTTTTTAAAAAAAACTTTAAAAATAATCATCTTTTAGGTCGATTCAATCATTTCTTTTTAGCATTTGAGAAGTACAGGCTTTAAGCATCAGAGATGATTTACTTTTGACAAATTAAAATTCTATTATCTCGTTCATAAACGAATGTAAATCAGTATTTTGTTTGAAATTTTGGTTTTAAATATAGTTTGTGAATGTATTAGAGAAAGTAATATTTTAGAAATTATGACACTTTTGAAAACTAGACAAGATGTTTGTTAATGAGTTGTAATTTTTAATGAGTAATCTCTATTTAGGATTTGTAGAAGAATAAAATTATCAGGTAATTAGTGTTATTTTGTCATTTATAACTTGTATTCATTACTGATTGATATCAGTTGTGTTTTTAAAAACTAGAACGTACTAGGTAGCTGATCTATCTGACTAGGAGACTCCTCAAAAGTTTGCACTCACAGGTATCATAATGAGTATTAACTATTTGGTATGACATAGTTGGTTATTGCTCTATGATTTTAATGACACCCTAAATCATGTCACTTTATAGCGAATATCACATTCAAACCAATTTGATTACCACAAAATGTTTCATTAGTATTTATAATGCCATTGTTCTAATGCTGTTGTTTAACCAAAAAAGATCAATCGTATCAATTCTAATAATCCATGAATACGATAGAGTACTTTCAATTATATTTTGCACTTTGTTTTTGAATTTCTCAAAGTATATTCATTTGTTTGTATTGTCAAAAGGTATGGATTGGTGAGGAATCAGAAATTGGTCAATTAAAAATCAATGAGTTAATTGATGAAGAACAAGAAGGAGGTGATGACGTCGTTACAATGAGTGGTATGCATCTTCATAGTCGTATCGCATCATATTCTGTTTAGTTTAACATATAGTATATTTTTATTGGGGGCGTAAGACTTTATGTGTTTTAGGCTATAGATATCTCACTTGATACCAAACCAGTATTTAATTGAATTTTCTAACTTTAACAGAGCTGAATAGCTTGATGGTATATAGTTTAATTTAATGCCAACTAAACACAGGTTATCATGAGTAAGTTTTTGATGACACTATTCACGAACCACTGCATTCTTATAAACACTTGACTAATTTATATATTTAGATGTTAATCACATATCTGATGAAGTGTAATGGTTTTTTGACTACTTCAACTGTCGGTGGAAATGAATGCATTAGTTGTTAAATGTTAACATGTAAATAAAGATGCTGCCTTTAGAATAGCAAAACCTACGTAAAAGTTTCCTGTTAAAAATCTTATATTTGAATTATTGTGAATTAACTTGTAGTTTTGAAAAACTTACAATAAACCTGATTAAAAACTACAATATTAAGTTTAAGTTTACACAGATTGGGAATGACTTCTGAATTCAGCTGTATTTTTGCTTGAAGTGGTTAAAAATCTTTAACAAAATCTGTACCTGAATAAATCAGGTTATATATTTGACAACCTGGAGCAATCTGTATAAATTCCTGAAATCTTTAGGCAGCTGATTACTGACCTGAGACACTTTGATGTCAGGTAACAACTTTCGTGAAACGTAAATTAAAGACTTTCTGATATTCATATTAAATAATTAAAATCAAACCAAGTAAATGGTAAATATGAATCATTAAAACTAGTGACCAGATTGCAATTTAAATGGTAGAATTTGATCAGCCTCAAAAACTCAACAACATCTAATACAGTGGGCCAGTCGGATATAGACCGAATGGTCGGTGCACGTTACTTGTTAAGATATGTCATTCTTTCTAAGGAATGAAACACATCGCAAATGGTTCAAAAATATGACTTTTATATCTAAGCAATAAATACTTGATTCAATCAGTCAATAAAAAGCTTCATTCTCTCTCTCTCTCTCGGGGTCAAGAAGAGTATCACTTTCAGAATAGGACACCGCACAACATAAAAATATTATATTAATTACTTCTCAGTGATCGATTAGTGCAAAGAATACTTTATACATTAAACAATAAAGATTATATTTTTCTTTCAACTTCATTTTGACTATCGTCCAAAAAGTGTTTCATTTTTCCTAGCTAGTTTACATCAATAATGGTAGATATGATTGTATCCTATTGAAAGTACTGCATCCCATGGAAGATCTTTGAATTTGTCTTCCTTTCGATATCAATTTGATAAATGTTATGTCTTCAAAATTAAACATAAAACGTTTAAGTACATTTTCAGAAAGAAATAGCTTATTTCAAAGATACCTGTGGAACTAATGTCAAATTAAGGATCGACGAAAATTGGAGATGATTATAAAGCTGGTTTGTCCTAATTTAATCTTCATCTATAGTGTAAATTCATAGTCTAGCAAGAAACTGAATTCATTACTTTCATTTTTTTGTAGTATTTAAGTTATATTTAATTGACTAAGCCGAAATTCGAAAGTCTACACTTTTTTCTAAAAATTAAACTAATGGAGAAATTCGAACACTTCACTTCTACCTGAAGTTTGTACTGATGATGCCATTCAGAAGAACGATAAAAGCTTCACGACCAAACCATCCAGCTCAGAAAACAAAACTCCACCAAAATCATCCACCTGAGCTACAAATATTCTCCACCATCTCAAAATTAAACTAATTTGTAGTTCAAAGCTACAATTATTAAAATGATCATGATGAGGTTTTTTGATATGAGTATATGGTTAATAGGAAAACTGTTAAACTTTGAAAGTAGTTGTATTGTTATATATTATATAGAAATGTATTTGATTCTATAAGGTAATTCACTAGGCAAACTGAATATATCACAACTCCACTATCTATTTTATCATCAGTTCTAGTCATATTCATTCAACATTTCCAAATATATAGTTTTCTATAAATTAATGTCTTACTCAACTGTATAGCTTAGCTAATCAAACACAAAACTGTATTACATAATGTCACATTCAAAATCTATACACTTTGCATCAATTACAATACCATTAAATTCGTAAACCTTATCGGTTTTATTCATTTCTCTATATAGCAGAAATATATAGTTGATTAAAATGTTATTATTTACATAAAATGTTTCTGATAGAACACATTTATCCATCGTTTACCACTGAAAACTTGTATAAAAAGTGATTTGTAAATTTCGTCTGTTATTCTCTCTTGTATTTGTATAATAATAAGTTACTCATTTTTATCCATATACAGTTTACAATAAACTTATGTAATCTAGGTTACATTTATATTCATAATTTACATTTTGTTTTCTTTCAAAAATCAAATATGTTACTATTACAAAGATGATTTACATAAAAAATTCATTGAATGATTTAATTCTAATTACTGTAGTTTATAAAAGAAGAGTTTTGTGAAGATTGTAGTAATTTCAATAGTTTAGATCATGAGTTATTTGAAGCTAAACCACCATGGAAAACCTAAAAGCACTGAACGGTCGTTTCGTCTTATTGTGGGACTGTTCATTAGTGCGCATCTACGACCTCACCTCACGGGATTCGAACCCAGGACTTATCAGTCTCGCGCGCGAGCGCCCAACCACTAGACTACTGAGCCAGCATCCAGCGGTGTGAATGTCTAACTTCAAATAATCCACGAAATTGAGTGACACATCTACCATTGTCATCAGTGAGTTACTATCTCACAACAGACCCGGTCAAACCCTACTGGTCACTGCCTCTCACTAGAACTCCAGGATATACCTCTTCAATCCAGTCACTAGTGAGCATATATTGATTAATATCAGAGGGAGCTTCGTGGAGATTGCAGTAATTTCAATAGTTGAGATCATGAGTCAATTGAAGCGAGACTATCATGTAAAACCCGGGTTCGAATCATGCTAGGTGGGTCATGGATGCGCACTGCTTAGAAGTCTCACAATAGGATGAAACGGCCATCCAGTGCTTTCAGGTTTTTGATGGTAGTTTAACCTTAATTGACTCATGATCTCAACTACTGAAATGTGACATGTCTCAATAATGTTTAATCGAAATAGTTGGAAAAAAAATGCAGAAAATATACTTTTATGATTGTAAAGCGTTATGGTCTAATCAAAAGTAGTTTGTAATTTAATGTTTCAAATATCTTTTTTTCTTTGTTTAAATAAATCATGAGAATATTATGGCTTGATCAAAAGATCATTCACGGATGAATTTACATTGCAGAGAGATTGTTATTATTTAAGAATCCTTTTCACAATTTGAAACTTTTCATTAAACAACTGACAGATAAACTATGTACATTTTCGTAATACCTTAGATACATTTATGAATGACTGGTCAATAATAAGATTTTTACCATCTTTGAATTATATATGGAACCTTTAGTAAAATGTCTAATTTAATAATATCGATATATTCACTGATGACTAGCTTCGAAATGAAATAATCAACGTTTTAATAGGAACTATAATTTATGGAATCAAATGAATTGGGAATGAGTGAGCAATTCCCAAATCGTTATAAATAGGAATCAAACCGTTTCTTTGAATGATTCCACTTGAAAATGTAATCAATTAAGTTTCAACAAAGTAGTGTAACTGTATAGTGTTTATTGTTGAATAAGACATGAGTTTCTCTTACATGTGTACACTTCCAATGAATCAAGGCAATAGTATATGACGCGGGTCAGGAATGTAATGTCTGGCATCAGAAGATGGGGAAGATCAGGAAAGGAAGGACGGGACTAGAAAGCAGTTGGTATGGAAATGCAAGAACAACGAAGTTCGAGACAATTATTGAACATTTTGCAAATTAAGTATTATAGTATGGTTTTTTCTATTTCACCAAGTAACTCTGTAATTTTATGCTAAATATAATTCGCTTGTCCTCACCTGTGTTCTCCTTCACTACAATAGTAGTGTAACTGTATGGTGTTTATTGTTGAATAAGACATGAGTTTCGCTTACATGTATACACTTCCAATGAATCAGGGCAGTTGTCCATTCGTCATTAATTCTCAATATTCCGTCCTATTGATGTCGAAAATAACCCTTTAATCCTAGAACCCAATTATTTCTTTGTCTATGCTTCGTAGATTCTTTTTACTTTACAATGGGTAAATATTGCTTATGAGAGAAGAAAAATGTTAGAAAAACAACCATAACAAATCGAGTCAGTTTTATTGATTAGATCTACTATTAATATGATATTTGACATTCTAAATGTGGTCAAATGCAAATTCTTATTCATACAAATTATATGGATTATTTCATCGTTTCTTTTTTTTGTAATTAGCTAATTAATTATATGTAAATTGGATAAACTATTCTATATTTGTTTATTTTACCATAACAACATAGCTATGTATAACATGCTGTCTGATTGAATTTTAGATTCAGAAACACCGAGACCAACAAATTGTACTAACAATATTTGCAGTGAGGAAGAGGAAATAAGACACTCATCTCATAATACCAAAGAAACAAGACTGGAAATGAATGGTTTGATCAAAAATGATGTTAGTTCAACAGTACCTGAAGACAAGAAGTACATCCCTCCATTTCGTCATGTGCCAGTATGTCATGCAAATGAATTGATGGAAAATACCAATAAAGATACATCATTTAAATCAAAAACTAAAGATTATTATAGTTGTACATGTAATTTTGATAATGCGAATCCCACGAATCAAGAAGAAACTAAATTCAAAGAAATAAGTGAACAAACAGGTGATAGAGTATTATTATTATTATTACTATTATTATTATTATTTCACATGATCTTAATTATGACTTCAAACTGCAAAAATTTGATTTTAGTAAGGATTCTAGACAAAGAGTAGACTTTATCTTTGATTTTAACGAAATATTAGTCATGATCTGTTGGTCTATATCAATCAAATATCTTTTAATTTAACACTTAACAATTTGTAACCGAGCACATGTTTGTACCTTGTGATGTAACCTATCGTTTTCTTTAATTAGAACTAGCAATATTACGTGATCTTACTTGACAAAGTACTTAGGATCAGCTTCTGAATTATTTCTTAGAGTGATCTCTTACTTAACATCCCAGTACTAAACTTCCTCGCTGTGAAACTTGAATTTCTCCCTTTTCATTCGATATCAATGAGTTTCCAAAATAGGATAGAACTTACTAATGCTCCCTGAATTGTCACACAGTAGCCTAAAAGATGAGATCCCAGTGTTTGAAGAGGTTTGCACTCGAGTTAAACTCTCAGAAAGAAATTCATTTAAAATTCCGCTTCCAATGTAAATTCAAAATCACTATGACTTTTGTTTTTATGGTACACAATTTAAATTACATGAAAGTGACAAGAATGAACAATTAATGTGTAGCACCTTGATAACTGATTTAAAAAATTAATTTCACATGTTTATTTGGTCACGACTTTTCAATATTCTCCTAGTATGAATGGTCAGTAAATGCAATAGTGATTGTGGTCATTATTATTAGACGAATAGGACAAACTAAAAAAATCCGAATAAACTTGAAGAATTAATATGGAATGTCTGTTTCTACAAGTGATACCCTTGCAATATATACAGCTACTTTAGCTAACCTCACAAACTTCATTGGTGTATGAATAGTCTATTGACTATTCACACGAATGCTTTGCTGGTTAGCGATTTCAGCGTCATCACTGACATCACATTTATTAAAGACTTACAAGATAACAAAGATCATTTGTGTTGAGCTTTGAAAGTTCCATAGAAAAGTATTTTCTAAGGAAACTAACTCAGTATGTTACATTCAAAGAGCTATTCGTTGTGTTTAGTCGGGAAAATTGCAAATTGTTCGTAGAATATCCGATGTGCACTGTCACTTGACTGAAATACTAATATATTGTGTCTCGTATGTGGTTGACACATCGATTCGGTGACATAGGCCAGGTTAACTGAGCCGTGATTGATCGATAAACTGCCTTTTTATTTACCTAATTTAATGTTATCAAAACAGCCTTAACTACCAGTAGGGGATGGGCCTATGTTTAAACATATGATACAAAATAAATTACTGTATAAACGATAAAGGTTTCCTTCCTCTTAATCTATAATTGTTTTAAATACAGTTTCTGTCGTTCAGATAATGTTTTTCTACTCACCAATGAAACAAGTTCTTTGGGTTGAAATTCAAATCCCAGGTTAAAACACGTGACACGGTTAATTACTAAGATCACTGGATTCAAGCTTACGTGATCATGTATGTCATGAAAAAATCTAGTTTGCGAAATATTTTTTTAACTGATTCATATATTTTGTAAAATCAGTTATGACCAGTAATTAACAGGAAGTAATCGGCACTAACATCTTAATTCCTCAATCGACCCAGTGATTCATTAATAAACTTAATTTATTAGCTTTTAATTAATTATGTAACCCTACCTTTCAAACGGAAAATGATATCTTCCTCAAATCTCAGTAAACATACGAACTGATTCAGCAGTATTATCAATGTCAAGTTGATGAAGACCATAAAGTACCAGTTTTTGACCAATAATCCCCTACTGAATTAATGTTATTCAGCTAAACTAATTTTTTTGCCAGGTTCACCAATCGGGATGGTTAGAAACCAAACCTTTAATCAATTGTTGAGGAATACCGTTAGCTCACTCACTTCTTTAAAGTTTCAACTGATTATGCTATTTAAAAAGCTTTGCAATCAGACCATTCAGCCTTACTTACTTACTTACGCCTGTTACTCCCAATGAAGCATAGGCCGCCGACCAGCATTCTCCAACCCACTCTGTCCTGGGCCTCCTTTTCTAGTTCCATCCAATTCCTGTTCATTTTTCTCATGTCTATTTCCATTTCCCGGCGTAATGTGTTCTTTGGTCTTCCTCTCCTCCTTTGGCCTTGAGGATTCCATGTGAGGGCTTGCCTTGTGACGCAGTTCGGTGCTTTCCTCAGTGTGTGTCTTATCCACTTCCAGCGCTTCTTCCTGATTTCTTCCTTCGCTGAGATCTGGTTTGTTCTCTCCCACAGTACGTTGTTGCCAATAGTGTCCGGCCAACGGATCTGAAGTATTTTGCGTAGACAACTGTTAATAAACACCTGTATTTTCTGGATGATGGCTTTCGTAGTTCTCCAGGTTTCCGCCCCATACAGTAGAACTGTCTTGACATTTGTATTGAAAATCCTGACCTTGGTGTTGGTTGACAGTTGCTTTGAGTTCCAGACGTTTCTCAGTTGTAAATATGCTGTTCTTGCTTTGCCGATCCGCGCCTTCAAATTTGTTAAAATCATTCTCCTGAACTACAAACATTCCCCACAAACTATAAGTTGAATTAACTGTTTCTTTATTCTTATTTAAATTATTACTTGACCAAAATTTTCTTGATAAATCAATCATCATTCAGTATGTAAAATAAGATTAATTTATTTTATTTTTTTTTCTTTCACAAACAATTAGATATTTTATCCATGAACATTTCACCATTTTCATTAGAAACACTAAGGCTACATATTGAATCAATGTCAATAAAACATCCACGATTTGATCAATCCTTTGATGAAAAGTAAGCAATGCTAATTTGCGTAAATGCTCTTGGTTATTTACATTTAAATAGATGTTTTGTTCTGTTTTTTTTCTTTTCGAAACGTTTACAGACAATGACAAAACGATAGAATCCGAATCAATACCTAGGAATAACAAACATATTGATTAAACAGGTTGAAATCATAAGTCAATTGAAGCTAGACCACCATGGAAAACCTGGAAGCACTGGACGGCCGTTTCGTCCTAGTATGGGACTCCTCGGCAGTGCGCATCCACAATCAAGCCTCCTGCGACATTCGAACTCAGGACCTACTGGTTTCACGCGCAAGCACTTAACTACTGAGCCGTCATCCAACGGTGTTAATGTCTAACTTCAACCAATCCACGAAGTTGCACCACCGTACACCATTGTCTTCAGTGAGTTGATATCTCACAACAGATCTGGTCGAACTCCACTGGTAACGGCTTCTCACTAGAACTCCACGAGTATCTCCTGATTTCAGTCACTAGTGAGCAGATGATTATTATCGGAAGGGGTTTTGTTGAGATTCTAGAAATTTCACTGATTAAAATCATGAGTCAATTGAATCTAGCGGGGTGCGGGATCGTGGATGCACACTGCTGTGGAGTCTCATACTAGGACGAAACGGCAGTCCAATGCCTCCAGGTTTTTCATGGTGGTCTAGTTTTAACTGACTCATGATTTAAATCTGTGAAAATTTCTAAAAATCTCCACAAACCCCTTCTGATAATGATGTTAATCGTTTAAAGATCACCATCATGTGGAAAGTCTAATATTTGAATGAAGAATATTCTTTTCGATAAATTCTCTTCAGGTTCTACATTTATACATCGAAATTGATAATCTGAAAAATGGCCAGGTTAAGGGTAAAGTGAATTGTTGAAAGCATGTGAATTTAGCATGTGATAACATTGACAATTACATTTGACTACGTAAGGTCGTAAGTACAATAGTCAAAGTAGGTCATTCAAAAACTAAGATTACTATTGATTAATTGGCCTAGAGGTTGGCCAAGGGCGGAGGAGTGGTTAAAGATATTTCCTCTGTACTCATAGTTCCGGTTTCTTTATCCGGATGGCTAATGCTTCAGCCGTTTGTAGGACTTTGAGTCTAACAAGCTTTAGCAAAAAATTACTGACATTATAAATAATTGAAAAGGATTAGTTTATACTGGCGCTTATGATCAGTTTGTACTAAATGGGCCAATATCGAACTGCTCACTTTCTTCATCAGACCTTTGCTTAGTCACGCTAGGAGGTGTTCATGAGCATGAAACTGTGAATTCCTAGAGCTTCGACCAATATAACTTGCTCCAGAGGAGCTGTCGAACTGAAAAATACAAAATGAGGTGGTCATTCTAGGTAATTCATCTTTTAACCTCAGTGTCATCATTGAGCACGTGGAAAACACTAATCATAGTTTTCCGGCGTTGAAAGATTGTTATATTGTCCTGCGTAATCTATGAGTTAATATCTCACTAGGCGCATAAACAGGGATTTCTTATTCATCGTTTGTAATGGTATTAATTTGTTATAGAAAACGTGATAATCAACAAATATATTAAAACAGTTTTTTCCTCCGTTAAGTATAAACTCTTGTATCATGATAAAAAATCCATTCGTCTAGTACAAGTTACGTAACATAAACTTAAATAATATAAAGTGTAACTTCAGCAAAACGTTTACAGTTCAAGGTTAGGTGTGATACATAAAGCTAAAATTACTGTTGACATTAAGTAGAATATACAAATCTATTTGAAACAGAAGTGAATGTCCTGGATTTTTTCGAGATAAGTTCATTATCAATAAACCTTGGTTAATACAGTTGAGAGAACAAAACTACTAAATTCACTAATCTCTTAACTGATAGTAAGAAATACTGATAAGAAAGTGTTTGCTAGAAGTGAAATCCTAAGTAAAACAATGATTCTGTAAAAAACATGATTATATGATACTTTTTCTACCAGATTCATATTTTCATATCTGAAAACACAGTGGACTTAGCATTCAGTATATAGTCACCAAGAGTATGTGACATGGTGACCGCATTTCATATACTGATATTAATCAACATTACATTATTTTATATCCAAGATCCTTTAATTTTGATCACTTTTCATAGGAAATTGGTTTGAATTAATGTTTCATTTAAATTCGTTTAGTAAACCTGGTTTTAGTAATATCCACCCAATCAATGAATTAGAACCAAATGACGGTCAAACTCCGACAATCAGCCCAACTCTTTCTTTACACCAACTAGTTTTTGATGATATTACATCTTCAGATCTCCATACAAATGATGAACAAAAGCCTTCATCAGCAGATTTAATTAGTAATGTAGCTGATCCTCAATCTTGTATTTCATCACTTCCTACATCACCAAGAACAATATTAGCCGAAAAGTGTGGAGAGTTCGGTTCACAGGGTGGAATTTTGGAAATACCTGAACACAATGTCTGTTTGAGGATTCCTGAAGGAGCTATTTCTGAAGAGGAAGGTCTGCAAAAAATATTTATTAGGGTAGGTTCTAGAAATTGTGTATATGCAATGTTCAAGAGTTTTTAAACTGAATTCAGCTTCAATTTCTTAAATTATTTATCTTGACCTTTAAGTCCCAGTAGTTGATCTTACTTTTTCTCATCAAAAGTTATGATATACTTTTACAAAGTATGAGATGGATACTCTTTTAGTATACATTGGATTTAGTCAGTCCGAAAATGAAACAATCTTCATATACTAGTTTTCTAGTTAAATATTTCGCTTTCCAATACCAATGAGTTTTTTTAATATTTAATAGTTTGGACACGCATAAAGAACCTTAGAAATAAAAAAAATAGTATTTAACGATTTAGGCAGTTAAAATAGACCTCATTAAATCAGATTCAAACTAAATTAACAGTGAGTATAAACAGAGTGCACATAGTTGCCACAAAACTTTGGAAAGTTTTACTATCAAGTGGATGGTCCTCTGATAGAGAGAATGGTCAATATATGTTCTAATTTGTATAAATTCACCCTATTTTCGGATAGTTTTTGTGATATTATATTTGTAAATAACTATTAATCGATTATGATGCAAACTAACATCAGAGTTATGAAAGCACGTGTCTAAACAAATAGATCTTTTAATTGTGTAGAGTTCACACTTTTCCAGTCGAAGGGAAATGTATATGTACACTTTTGGCGGGTTCGAATATATTGAACTTAGGTCTTTAAAAGTTAATTTATAGATGGTAGTAATACCATCAGCTTTTTGAAACAAATATTAAACGAAATAAGAGCATATAGAGCATAATAGGTAATAATGTAGATGAAATCGCTTTACAGAGTAACTCAGTGAAGTACAACATAGAACTATAAAATCACTTATGGCACAACATGTAGAATTATATGTATCATACGATAGTACCAGCTGACTAGTTTGGGTTCGACAAATTTCAGCAAACATCCAGTTGCTTAGGTCTTGATCAGCAAAAGGCTAAAATTGATGTTTAATTTTGTAAAATAAACTCTTAACGAACAATCACTTTTTGTTCTATTTCAATAAAGGTTTATGAAAGCGGAAATGAATTGCTCGTAGATAATTTACCATGTGAAACACAACAATCATCTGACAAACCTATATTGGTCAGTCCAATGGTTATGTGTGGTCCTAGAGGTTTAACATTTCATAAACCTGTTGAACTTACTGTCCCAAGATATCCTCTAGACTCAGAATCTAGTGATGAATCCGAAACAAAACTTGATAAACATTTAGAAAAATGGAATTTATCTTTATTACATGCTTCAGCTATTTCTACTTCAACATCAACGGATGATGATTCTTTACCAAGAACTTCACGTTCAAATGAACCAACAAAATGGCATGAAATACCTCTAAGTGCTAAATGTCAATCATCTATGAAAAACAAAACAAATTCTCAAAAACATAAACATAATACTAATCAAGGAATTCTTTCCATTATTAAAGATTCTCATATTTCAATTTTAATTGATCATTTCTAATTTGTTTTTAACATTTCTAAATAGTTTCCTCTAAATGTTTAAATATGAAAATCAGTGAATAAACCCATGAAAACATAATGCAGAAATTTGTCGCTTATTATGTAAAGAGAGCAAGAACAAAGATTGATGCAGAATAGTATATGAATTCATTTTATTTCGTTAGGTTCTAATCAGTTGCTTACAACCTAAAATATTTAAAATTCAACATTATTACAGATATTGACATATTTATACATAAGAGGATGATTAAAGATGAATAAATATATCATGGTGTGACGAAGATTCCGATAGAGTTAATGGGATCATAAAATTTTGTCTCGAATAAATAGAGTTTGAGAGGGAAAGTTCCGGAACATTGAAATAAGGGGTTATTGTTACCATTTATTTCATTTATTTCTCTACTTATTTATTGCGTCATTACTCCAACTCTTTCAAATTATATCATACATAACTGACTGATTTTAATTCATATTTTCTTTATTACCATTAATCTATCTTCATGAGTTCGAATCACTATTTCAATGTTCCGGAACTTTCCCTCTTAAACTCTATTTATTCGAAACAAAACTTTATGGCCTCATTAACTCTATCGGAATCTTCGCTATACTATGATACATTTATTCATCCTTAATCATCCTCTTATGTATAAGTATGTCAATATCTATAATAATGTTGAATTTCAAATATTTTAGGTTGTAAACAGCTGATGAGAATCTAACAAAATAAAATGAATTCATATTATTCTGCACCAATCTTTGTTCTTACTCTCTTGAAGGTAATAAAGGGAACTATGTGTATGAAACTTATTATGTAATTGTTTTTCTTTGTACTAATCAACTATTCACTAGCATGTTTATTCACTATATTTAGGAGAAAATATATATACAATTATTCCTTAATACTTGGTTTCGTATTATGACAGCAAAATCTATAATTTCTATTACCGAAAAATCATTATATCTAATGTCGTGATAGTCCCATAAGAGTTTTTTATTGGGTATTTCAAATACTTATTAGCTATTGCTATCACATTTACTTTTTATCATCCCGTTAATACTTTAGCATCCAATGATGAAGTTGTATATTTTATAAAAATATTCAATACCATTTTCTCCTACTTATAATACTATTTTGAATGTTCCCAAATACTAAGTTTTCTGACTACAAATAACCGGCACCAATACTCAGTGTATCTTAATGAAATCTGTACACCGATAATTAAGCTCAAGAATTAATGAATTTTAACAGTTGAAATCACGAGTCAATTTAAGCTAGGCTACCACTGAAAACCTAGAAGCATTGGATAGCCGTTTTGTCCTAATATGGGTCCAGCGTAGATCGACTTGTGAATTCAACTGTTTAAATACTGCGATCTCCATAAATCCCCTCACTACTTGATGAATTATACTAATGTTCTATTATATGAATTATTTTTCTTTAACAAAACGAATAAGTAACCAACAACATTCTCGTATATTTGTGTTACTTGCTACGAAAGCCGCTAGCAAAAAGTTCTGGTCAGTGAAAATCAACAATGATTTTATTTTTAAAAATTTTTATTTTATCTTTATCGATATATTTTGTGAATTTTTTTATGGTAGAGTATTACATGTTTATACACTAAGTCCGAACGCTCCGCATACTGCTCTGACTCAAGAAACCAAAAGAACATGATACCTGAAGAATAATGAGAGTAGATATTTCGGTGGAAAATCTTCATCAGATGAAAGCACAGGTATATGAATACAGAATCTTTTTTCCAATAAATATTGTTTAGGTTCTACAATTATATATTCATAGTAATGATCCAAAAGGTTGCCAGGTTCAAAGTAAAATACATCACTTAAAACTATGGCATGTAAATTCAGGATTGTCTGTAAAATAGAATAGAGTTGTCAGTGTTAAGATGAAATATTCACTTGGATAAGTTTATAATTGAAATGAAAGTGTAAGCATAATGACCGGCACAAATGTTTACTCACAACATTTATAGGAATATCTGAATTGGGACAATTTATTTATTTAAACAACTACTTTCGATAGTGTGTTTGAGATTAGAAAAATATTGTACATATCTAATCATTCAAGCTGTTTTAACTTAGAATAAAATTTAACCCCTATGTTTGGTGTCTGTATGAAATAATAAATATTCTGCGTACCATTACAGTCCTCGCCTGTAACTTCAATAAAATATATTCATGTTTTCATAATCGTATATGGTTTGGACTCACTATTACATTAATAGCTATTAAAGTATGTTTCGAACAGTTTTAAGGACTTTTATATCATAGAATACACGTAGTACAACTGCTGGTTTTATTTGGTGTTGCGATGGAATCTGGTGTTGAACACCTGGTTGCTAGTTTAAGTGAGGAATTGTTCGATGACTGTCGGAGATGAAATATATAATCATCAAAGACGCCAACAAAAAAATAGTAATATAAGAAAGGTTACAATAATGATAGTAAAATAAACATAACGTGACAAAGGGATTAATAAAACATAGCTCAATTCCTTACTTCCACAGGAAGAAAGACTACAACCCGCAGGAAAACCTGGTTTTCCCAGAAAACCTGTTTCATTCTTTTATGTTAATCTCAAAGAACCGTGTCAAAGCAATAAACTTCCATTGCACTTAAAGCGATAAAGTTCACAAGATTTAAAATTTAGTAATTTATCATGTTGTTGGCTGTTATCCCGACTGACATATTTCAGTAGACTCCTTTCAAATAAATATATACATGATCAATCTTGCCATCTGGAGATAAAGTGTGGTAACGAAAAATATGGGATTGTGTTTTTATTAAATTTAATTTAATTCTGATATTTAATTAGCTAAACATATTTTTGTATATATATATATATTCCCTTATTGGTTGAAAATGTAGTGACTCATATGTAAGTTCATATTCAGATATAGTACTCCCATTCTCTTCCATCGGCCAATCTGAAAGCTACACACTTGAGTTGTTGAGTTAGTGCGTTTGTAATAAACCGATTTCAAACAAATTTCGTGTTTGAATTAGTGATGGGAACTTTATAGGTCTTATTGCAGGTAGATGAATAGATCTTTATTTACAGTCCTACATTTCTTCCTTGAATCATCGAATACCAATGTTTATTGCATTAAATGGAGGCATGTCAACCATTTTGTACATAAACCTAACACATAACCTACTAATATTTTGTCGTTTTATAGCAAGATTAATTTCTCGAATGTTAACGCAGTTATCAAAACACGCATTCCAAGAGGAAGGAGACGAATGCCTTATCTATGAAGCTGAAATCTAACTTGATTTATAGCAAAGATACCAATACATTGATAAGCTGATATGATCAGTTCCCACTAAGTTGTCCACTTGCTAGTGTAGGGCCAGTGAAATGTCAATGAGACGTAGCTAAATCATTCGGAAGTCTGGTCACTGGTTATCAAATATATCGTCAATTCCTGCCAAGGACAACTAAAGTGCATCAGTTAATCGTAAGCTATGAACTGGCCCACGCGATGGTGGTCACACTTTCGCTTTTACCTACTTTAACTAATATATTCCAGTAGTATTATTCTTTGTATTGTTCGGTCTTCAAAGCATATATAGCACCTTGATACAACGAAAAGTTAATCCATGGTAGGTGTTGATCGCGAGGTGTGAATTCGATGTTAGCTAATGGTCAGATCATTCCCGTCTAAGTCGAGTAGGCCCCCAATCATTCGACAAATATTACAAACGTTGGTGATTTACGCCAGTTATCTAACATGAAATCAATTGAACTAATGAGAACAATGTCCTTCAGGTGACGCCAAGTGTTTAGAAATAGTATTACGAATTACCAGTAATTCCGATTGGAATATGAAACTGTGGCCTGATTATCTGATTCCAATTTCATTGTATGATGATGATAACTAAATCTACATATCGCCAATTCTCGCACATAATTGTCAATTTCATTCGAGCTTCAGAACAACGAAATAAGATGCATCAAATACGAGAATGAACTTCGGATGTATATGTTTCATACACTTGCTTCTTCAGACAAACAGTAAGAGAAACGAAGCGGAAAAATAGACCGTAGAAGTCAAACATCCCGACTAGCTATTCCATTTATTATAAGCGTTCATACTGCTGAAAATAGCCCGTAGTATGACAAAGAGACAGACATTGGATAAAGTAATAGGTGATGGTCATATAAACAAGGCACATAAGCGTAAAACCACGACGACATGAAAAAAGACCTGTATGTGTCCTGAAGGTCACACTATTCTATGAGGACAACAGTTATTATGAATGTACAACTGACTCAATAGTCACATACTCTTTGAGTCGCTGAAATCTGTTCAGTAGCATGGATGATTTGTAGTGACTCACATTTATCACGAGAACACGACTGGTTTAATAAAAACAATTATTATTATAACCAACTGTACCGGTGCTTGTTTTAATATGCTTTAGTCTGACTGTGCTAATGACAGCTATATTGTGCTTCCATTATTATTCACGCACTTTGATTGTAACTTCGCGCGAATTCGGTTACGTTCTGTAGCCAAGCTTGTATCCTGGCACGATCTCGGTATCCTTTCGATACCACGAGATCGCCTGCGAATATATCTCGATTTGGTCCATTAATTGCCATCTAATATTTGGCGTCCGGGGGATTTTATGGAGTCATTTGGCACGAGTTTCTTGGTAGCGGTGTTAATAGTTAATTGGGACTGGACACCACGCTACAGATTCATTTAGGTGTGTATTGGTACTACACATTACAAACTTCAAGGAGAAAAACTAAGAGCTCAAATTCAAGGAGTACAAAATGGAAATGTGTTGCACTGTTATCCATAGATCAAAACACGTGGCGTTTTATTTCTTAATAAACATTATGACTGTCCATCCCATTTTCCTCAGGGGAGTAGAAATTACAAAAATTAGGTTGCTCAATATGCATGGTACATCTAATACTTTTTAGTGAATCGTTAATCTCAACATTTTACTTAACATATAATCTGATTTAAGTTAACATTTCATATGAGACATATGAACATTGGCAATTTTACACATTTTGACAGTTCTAAATTTACATGCTATAACTTTAAACGATGCGCTTTACCCTAAATCTGGCCACATTTCGGATTAATAATCTGATGCTTAATAGTAGAACTCGAAGAAAATTTATCGAAAAGACTGTCCATTATATACATATTAGTGTCGTGTTTGTATGACCGCCTGATTTCTAATTCCAAATACAATGCTTTCGTTTGTGCTCACCTGGTTCTTCTTGGTCTAAATTGGCTATACCAGTAATTCCTATTTCGTATAAATATTCGAATACTTCTGATCATCACAATTAGTCTTTAGATATATTGTAGATCTTTAATTAATTTTTCCATTCATTCAGTGTGTGAATACTATATATAGTACCATTACTTTCACAAAGGATTTCATTTTCCTCTATAAATTTCACTTTATTCGCTATTTTCGTTTGTCATATTGAGACGAACTATACTAGTGTGCTCATGCATTATTTATATAGATAGCTTGAGATGAATAAAACAAGATTCTCAACAAATTCTCCGGCCATATATGAAACACCTGCAAAACGTTTGTAATGGTATTGTTTCTTAACCGGATGATCCCTGAGTCCGAATATACGATGACTGAGACGATTCACATTCAGCATCGAACACCTGAGGAAGGTCAGAAATAGTGGGTTCAAAATTCTTTAATCGATTTGGTATAGCTGGGTTCCGCAGAAGTGACTGCTATGTAACCTCTTCATGTGAATTATATTATTCTATCCCTATCTCAAAAGTGTTCTTCAGAAGTTCCATAAATTTTAATTGATAATATGAATCGTTAAGAACTATGATGTTACTATCATGTTAGATTTTATAGATAAGATAGTCACATCATGTCTAGAATCTTGAATTTGATCTGCTGGCATAGATAACTGTATTTGTAGACCTTAATTAAGTAGTTTTAAAGAAAAAATGGCACATACAGTACTTTTATTAAACATTGAAAAAAGGAACATCAAGCAGACAGGTTATTTATTGTATATGACGTTCCATTGATCTTGTCTGTTAGCTATCTTTCCAATAAACTGCCTGTTCCCCAAGCTCAATAAACAAGCAGGATAGCCTGACCACAATGTTATAGTACGTCGTTCCATGATATGTCAGGTAAAAGAAGGAAACGTTTAAGATAAGGGTAGGTGTAATAAATCCCCAAAGTCAATAACCCTGTTAGTCTTTGACATTTGATACAGCGCATTATTTAAAATGGAATCAGCTTGCTAAATGTATTTGGTAACGCATCCGCAACAGATGACGTCGGGAGAACGCCGTACAGCATATCTATAACCGCTAGCCAAACTGTAATTATCATTTCTTAATCTATCAATATTTTTTCAAATATATTTTCGAACCTTTGACTTCTGACTTCTTATTTTATTGAGGTGGCAGATTTTTGCCATTAAAGGTTTTGCTAGTTAAGGTGTTGTGAAACTACGAATACTTGTGGAACGTTTAGATATTACGGTTAAAGACGTCATGAGCCCACGATTACTTGTGGCATCTTAAAGGCTCCAGTTCACTTCCACACTGTAGTCAGAACATCTATGCTTTCTTTCGACGTTCGCCCATTCATGGTGAATATAGAAACATAGTGCCAATTTTTTAGCTGATAACCGGTATTCAGATAAGCTGACCAGAATATCTAAGTTATTTCACCCAACATCAGGACCTCAGAGCTTGAGTTGCTTGCAACTTTTAATTGAACATAAGCATATCCTTTTGAATCATCACCCGACATTAAGACTTTAGTAATGAGTTTCTGTGAAAATGTTGGATTATTGAACTTATCAGGCGCAATTTTTGTGGTCCCAAGGTCGTTGTCGCATTCACAGTGTGGGCGTTCTAAGTTGCTAGGGTCGGATATCGTTTTCGTTTATTTCATTAGAGTCCTATTGGTTCGTCCGGAATGTGATTAACCATACCCGAATCACTGTAACTCGCTTGTTATTTGACTTAGATTTACTTAATTATGTCGCATCGGGGATTCGGCGAGGCTATAAATGCTGAACAAACCAGTCAAAATAAAGACAGCAGCACTCGATTTTATTGAGAATCTCGCCTATACGCATCGTAGTGCTTCGTGTCTTTCTTGTAGTGATTCCGCGTACTAGGGGAGCATGCATGAGAAATGTTGGGGTTGAGAACAAGATGAAATAGTGATCCGGTGATCCACGAAACGCACAATAAGAAGAACAAAAATCGCGAGTGATACAGGCTTCTTATTGAAATGATCCGAAAATCGGGATTAAAAGTAAATGATTCAAGTTTTTAAACCCGCTACAATATGACTAAACAGAGTTTTAGCATCATAGCTGATTTCAGCTTATGATCCCAGTCCTTACTGTCTTTAACCAGAATTCCTAACTGTTATTTCTGTTCATTACTCCTTACACTAGCTCATATCCTTGTTTTGACATATGTCAGTGACTGAAGTTTCTCTTGACCACTTTGATATTTCTTAGACATCATTCATACGTTATAGTCTCAATCAGTGAAGCATTTTGGGGTGTCATATTTCAAGGCTTACTTTACTGGATGAGATCCTAGTGGGTTCGAAGAAGGTCGGGTGCCTAAATGGATACTTGACATCAACAGTTATAGCCATTAATTGTCTTTCTGAACCTTGTCAAGTCTTGACTACTTGTTCAGTGTTTGCGAAATCAGCGTTTAAAGACGTTAAATGCTTTTCTTCTTCAGCATCTCTTCTTCCCTACCTTGTTTTATCTATTTATTTGAACACATAAATATTGGTATGAAGGGGCACCGAATACATATACGCCACACAAGTCACTTGATTTGTGTGTGTGCTATGATACTGCCCGGGTGCCCAGACCGTAGGAGGTTACTTTATTTTAGACCCATATTTTTAATGTTTGGTCATTTGCACTATCACCGTCTTTATAATACTCGAATTTTCTTACATTCATCTCGTAAATTTCACTTCATTGTGTTGATTAGGGAATAAGGACTGGTACACACTTGTCCCAAGCTTTACATCCGTTGCGAATCACTGATGAATAAGTATTCAGTTTTAACACTGTACAGCAACGTCACAACTGACTGTGAAGTTAGACTGACTAAGTAATTACTTGTAAAACAATTTATTATTTGTTGTGCTATTCAGAACAAAGATCCCTTGGACTGTACTCTCCATCTCCATACTAACTACTCAGTACTGACATGTGAATATATATTCCCTTTGTTCTCTAGATTGCGTCATTGTTTTGAAGATCAATATTTCCGAAGAAATAACTTTATTTGCTGGCTTGCAGTTAGAATGAAGCTTTTTCTGCACAACATACTTACTTCTCGTGTCTTAAAGTCTGTGAAAGTGGGGTATCCACTAAAATTGAAAGTCAGTTACCACTTCTCTCAGTTAATATTTTCAGGCCAACGCATTAAAGGTATCAACAGTTGATTATGACCCTGCATCAGTTGCTCGTTTGATTCCGAAAGTTGAGTGGTCTGTTGTGAAGTCAGTAGCAGATGAAGTAATTGGTCTATTCTGTATAATTTTTTAACAGATTGGTGAAGAATACATTCCTTGTTTGCCAGAAGAAGTCCCGGCTAATTATTCGGAAAACGAAGAATTCTTAAAATTGGCACACCGAGCACTTCTTGAAGTCGACGTAATGGAGGGTCTACTGGTTTGCCCAGAAACTGGTCGAGAGTTTACCATCTCAAACGGAATTCCAAACATGTTGGTCAACGAGGGTGAATAAGTCCATTGTAAAATTCCTTGTAAATTTCTTCTGCATAATAAATATTATATTATCGTTAATTTCTGTATATGGTGGCCAGACTTTAAAATGTTATAACACACAGCATCTCAATCAATAAGCTAAGATACACCAAACAACAGATCACAACATATTTAAACGTGATGAAAAAGGTACAATAGTATTAGTATATCGGTTAAATATATTCTATATTATTAGTTGATGATGAATCAAATATGACATTTAAAGTAATAATTATACTAATTAAACAGAAGATGGGCGCTAAGAAGCGCTCACTTAGTTTATTTTGTCCTTCTAAATACATCATGTATGTATAACTTAGACCTAAAAGTTGCGGATCTGAAGTCGTAATTCAGTAACTTCTATCAGAGTATGAAGTCGATCCCTGAAATATCTGCAAGTTGAATTCCAGCCTTATCTTTGTCCTACACTGCGTCGCTTCAAAAAAGAATACATTTTGCTAAGGCTTGGGTGCACCTTTTGGCTATTATATCTGTAAGCAATGGTTTGTGGTCACAGTGACAGTGAAGTTTGATTAAACATGTCATCAGTTGCTCAGCAGCCTAAGCAATCGAATTTCAACTGTTGGATTCCAGATCCAGATTATGTTTTTGTCGTCATATGGACGGTGTGGTATAGTCTGTCCCATATTCCTCTACTAAGTTTTATGAATTAAACAGACTCGCTTAGTAGTCAGTTGTTTCCTTTCAGGTGTAACATTTATTCTCACGGCATTAGTAAATCGGTTAATCACGATTTTATTACTAATCAGTTGTAAACCGTCTAAGCTATGTAAACGAAGTTGAACCCAATATACGCACGTTGAAATATTTCGTTAATATAAACAATATAAAATAACTATGTCTGTGTGATAGAAATTTGTAACTCAGATGGGTGATTTCAACGAATTCCGTTCTCTGAGATGGTAAGTTCAATCAGAAAGCTTTCATTGTTCTTCTGAACATCAGAAGTGACATACTTCCAGACGACTTACTGCATGACGCACTTTTAATAAAATGATAAGTATTCTATCATGTTTGAACACAGGAGTATTATAATCATCAGTCATTCACGTTATTCTGATATCTCGGAATTTACTAGGTCTCATCGTTAGCGTTATCAATATCTGTTTATTCAAAGTACATAAATGTCGTATCTGTTTTACGTTGGCCGTTTGTCGTGCTATATTTGTCTGTAGAGGAATGTATATTGATGAACTAACAAACTAATTTTCATCAAATTCTATTCGTCCTTTCATTTGACCAGTAAGATATCCAACAAATCAAGCTACTGAGTCCTAGATCCTCACGCCAATTATGCTGTAGACTTCCTTAGAATAAATGCACTGTCAATGCTAATTGTGTCACTAAGGTAGACTTTCTCGGATCTCGTTTCGATAATCTCAAAGTCATCAGGATTGTACTTAGCTGACAAAATAAAGTACTATACTGAGGCCCACTGGTAATTAATTTTATCGACTGTATAACTAGTATTTTGTAGAGTTGGTGACCTGTCTTTCACTTCAACAATCTACAGCTTTATTTAAACCATTACTTATTACATGGATAAAACATTCCAGATTTTACTATGAATAATGGTAACACATTGTTCCACTATAGGTTATGTCAACATCCGATTTACAGTTCGCTTACGTTACTCTCAGTTCTTAAGTCCTAGACGGGAGTGTTATATCTACGAAGATAGATCATTTTGTACGTGGATCTTGTCGTAAATAGCACCTAAACTACAGGTCATTTTACTTTTGTTGGTATGACTAGAGCTTATATAGGATTCACGGATGTCCTTGCTGATTAATTCCCTGGAAATCGTTACACGAGGTTGTTGTTTAGAGAATTTCATGCTGGCTGTCTTCTCACAAATGTACTGTAATATTATGGGAAATGTTCCAGGAACAGCCACACGAGTGTATAAAGGCTTTTTTAGGACCATGTGGGTTGATCGCCGAGTAACATTTCCCTTTGGGCCACACCCTTAAACGTAGTTTATTTAGTAATGCTAAAACAATGACTACATCATGCCGTCCAGTCAGTTACGAGTACTTAGTTACTGGATCGTTCTTTGAGCCTTTTACATGATGAACCTAGAAGCATTAAACGGTATATGTCTGTCCCAACCATCTTCCAAATAAGTGTCAGTAATAGATGACCTAGAGTTAGATCCGTACACAAAAGTATTTTTCACTATCGCCGTCATCACACAGACTTTTCGATTGCCAAACGTTAACCACTTTGATTTGTTCCTTTACTACAGCTCCATTTAAGGTTGAGTTCATTTATCTTACGTCTGCCTTATTGCTTTTCATTTTATTTCCTGTTACCAATCCTTGTTTGTTATCTCCTAATTACCAGTTTATGTTCTTTTAATCTTTGGTACTACATATTTTCGATTTCTTGTGATTATTTATTCCATCCTCTTCACGATTACCTTCATTATGAACTATTTGGGTGTTTTTATTAGCTTCCTAGACAACATTAACCGCCTAAAGTGAAACACAGATCTATATCTATCTAGCTGTTGTTCCCCTCAGTCCTCATAAGATTGAATAATTTCTCGATCTTTCAAGTGGTTACTATTTCAGTATATTGAAATATGTTTTATTCTACATCCCAGGTATTGTTTAATTTGTTGGCAACTTTAATAATGTAGTAGCTTGTCGTAACCTTAAGAAATAGTGGTTGTCTTATTCGTTTCTTTTCTAAATTACTTATGGTAATGAGCTGATAAATGAAGATTAACCTCGGTACAACTTTGTTTATTTTTCAAAACATACGTTTTTATGGAAAATAAAACGAGATGTGTATCATAAGAATAGACTTTTTCAATAAAATACAACTTAACTAGGTCACCAGTGTTATTTATGTACAAATTATAGGGTCTTGTGAGTTGACAGATTAAAGTTTATACCCAAAACCCGTTTTTTTTCTTACTTCTTTCATAACGTAGCTTGTAAATAGATTATCCAACGCGAGGCACCATCAGAAAAGGTTAAAATTGTGTAAATTAATTTTGAGGTTTACATACCCCCTTTGTCCTGGTCATCTATCTTTGCTAAAATACTGTCGCGAGTTAAGCTGTCCCAGTTAACGTGCATCAACAAATTATCCATATTTGCATGTTGGACTACTTGTATTTATTGAGTAGTCGAAGTCGAACATAACAAAGAATGTAAAATGCAATCATAATTACTACCAACCCAACAACATTAGACCATAAATCCCATCCAGTCATATAAGGGATCTCTTGGTCCTCCAAATATGTCGTGCCATTTTGACTGTAAAGAGGGTTATGAAATGAGAGAAAGCATACACATCAACATAGTTACTTAATTTAATCACAAAAGTTATGTTTAAACACTTTTATTCTTATAATGCTTTTTTTAATCGCAATTAAAACTACATATAATGTATACATTTTAAACCTTAATACTGAACAGTAAGGAATCGAGTGTAACAGTATAGCAATTTTTGACTGATTTCTCATCCCACTGTTAATGGTCATTTTGATTTTTTCCCAAAATGTTGCATAAATAAAACACGAACAATAGCCTTTGGAATTTGTTTCAATGAGATGAGATTGAATTCGTTACTGTATATATCTAGTGTCATATTATGTACGCATCCTGTCTAAATACATTCGAAAAATAACTGGTGTTAAGATATTCCAAACGTTGTGTATAAATTCCATTTATATCTACTTTATTCATAAGATGCAATGCATGTATATCATATGACTTTGGAAGTTACAAATAACTTTCAGACAAGATATTGTGAGACTTTTATGTCTTTGCTTGTGTACATGGATGCTAAAGTATTAGCTCCTCGTTCTACGAAGAAATACACAAGGAGAAAGTTGTAACTAAATTGAATGGTTAGTATTTGATAAGATAGCATTTGCTAGGAGTTCGCAAAATTTTAAATTTCTATCCACAACCATATTCATGAAGACTTCAAAAGATTCACTACACACCATGCGAATCACCTTAAGCATTCTTTGAAAAACAGAAAAATCTTTCCTCAAAAGCCCGGTAAAGAATAATGGAGAGAAAAAAGATGAATTGGTAATAACCAAGGATTCACGGGTCGTAAAAGTAAATATCGAGTAATGCAAAAACATGCAGCCGCTTAATACAATAAGTTAGACGAGAAACTTTCTTTGATATCAATAAAACCTAAGAAGGCGAAGAGAGAACAAAGGAAAACGTTACGCCAAGATAAACGACCTTTGACACTTTATTACAAAATCCTCAGTAATACAAACTTTATAGGATCACAATCGGGTCTTTAAGTGCTGCTCATGTCCAAGCTGAAATTAACAGCTTGACATTCAGAAGCATTAAATGTGGGACCATTAGAAACAGGCTACCGTTCAATGAGCGACAAAAACATATTGCAAAAGGATCTCAAGAGTCAGAAATTGACGTACATACAGTTAGATCGTTCGCATAATTAATGAACGTGCTTTTTGTAGATGACGGATCGTACGGAAAAAAAAGGGGAAAGTATAGCTCTTTGAGACATACTTTTTTGAGTTAGTAAAGATGTAGAACACTTTCCTGTCGGCACAGTGTACTGTTCTCTTCCACAGAGGTAAGAGCACAACCAGTCAGTTGTCCAACTAGTAGTATTGACGCTGGCAAACGTGTTTAGTAGTTGTGGTGTTGCAACAGAATCAAAGGCAGGGGTATAGTCTCGTAAGCGAATTGATATGGTTTAATATACTCTTATTTCAGCTCCTTGCACATTTATTATTACTTTTTTTCCTTCGTAATCGTTTTAGTTGTGAAGATATGGGTCGGTCAGAACTTACAAACGTAGATTCAATGGGATAACAAACATTAAAAAAGAATTTAGGATAATAAGTGACAACATTAGTGGTGTTTGCTATTGAGTCATTTGTGAATAAATGTCAACATGTATTTTTGCAGATCATGGATATTTTATTCTGAGCAATTCCTGTATTTAACTTTCTTTGTCTGAAATCAGAGTGTAATCTTTTGAAGTTTGTCATATGCCTTAAGCAGAACACGAATAATACAATGATCAGAATCGAAAAATGGAACATGTTTACGAATCATATATATTTTCATATTAATGAGAACTAAGGCTGAATGCTTATCTGAACGAGTGGAGAAATCAATTATTTTTTTATGACCTAGTGATAAAAGAAAGCTACAATTACATAAAATCATATCACCACATATAATTGAAAGTGAATCAGTATTATGCATACATGAAGCATGTACTTAAAATGTCCTTAGAAATAAGTTGATTAAACAGCTTAATAAGAGTAAGCGAATAAATGACTAGATGGTGGGATTAATATAGTCATAATAAAGAATGATAGCGTAAGAACAAATAATTGAAGTGAAGGAAATTTAAACCCAAAACAGTAAGACTTGAAGAAAATTTATAATTAATTTATTCAATTCCTAATTTTGATGTATAAGAATGCTCAAAACAGCAGATGCCTGGTAAAATGATGAGAACTGAGTAAAACATTTAGCTACATTCGATCCTTTAATCCTTCAAGCAAACCAATGATTATTTTGTTTTTTTAAAAATAAAAACGATCATTTGTAAAACAACAAAGAATAAATTATCATACCATTGCCTATTAATTGTTGTATTCGATTTATCCATAGGACAAAATCGAAGTGTTGTCATTTCCATAATCAGTAAACCGCCCATACTGTAACGAAATATAGAGAAGTAACGAAGCCAACTAAGCCAAACAGCCATAGATTTTAAATTGATTAAGAAACCAGAAAAAACCTAAAATCAATGAGGAAAAGGTTTAATATAAATCATTCATTGTTCCAAATGGATATAATCAAAGACTGAGGGAGCTGTTCTCAATATTTACCCGGCAACAAATTATAGGCAGCTTTACATTTTCCATGTTTGTTGACACTAGTCAGAATGATGTATCTATGATGTCAATAAGATGCATACTCTTGATAACCTTTTCATAAATTATTTAAAGCCTCAGCAAAAGATAGTCTAGGAATATTTCACGTGAAATATATTTAGTATTATCCGATGATCGTTCCATTTATTGTTGCTCACTTTTCTCGGTTTTGGTATAATCATATGTACTGACACTAGTCGAAATGGTGATGTATTAACATTTTCTGCAGACAGAAATAAGAATACGAGTGCCTGAAGCTTATTAAATAGTGCTTAGTATTCGTCTCACCATCTCAAATGTAGTGGGATGCATGAATAGAAGATTAAAGAGAAATGTATTTTTTAAAATTACGATAGTAAGGTTCCATACGATCATAATAATTCAGTTGCGAATTTGAACACTGTTCAGCTTACTTTGGTTTGAGGAAACAGATAGTATTACCGGTACTCACATCTAAAGTGTGATTAAAAGTCAAGTTTATCATTAGAAATTAGTTATATACATGACATGTACTTATAGAACTTACCATCATAAATACATAAATAATCGATATTATAGCATTAGCCAATCCAAAGACTGTAACACTTGCTGATATAAACAAAGCAATTGCAGCAGCGGCTAACGTTGTAAGGCACAGAAGTAATTCGAAAAACATAAAAGCTCCAAACGTTTTCTGTAAACCAGCCATCCAATAACATATTGGCATAAAGAATAATATAGGTAGTACTTTAGTTGGTATTATATCACAGAGAATTTTAGAGAAAAAGTATACTGAGACTTGATAATAACCACTTGAACTTTCATGTCTGCAAATGAATTAGAACAAAGATAAAAATAATAATACAAAGTTCAATACAGCGGCCATTGTATTTTCTTTTTTAAACAGACAGATTACATTAGGAAATTAGTACAATCGGTAGGAATGTCCAGTAATGTATACAGCTCAGTTTAATTTATAAGGGACTATCAGTAACAAAGGTACCTAACATGCTTAATCGCTCACTGTAGAAGACGTCTTGAGCTCTCATATTCCATTTTATTAGATTATATATATATATATAGATCTGTTGTAAAGATTTTATCTTAAAAGAGTTTTAATAGTGGTTTAATGGAAATGATATTTTATCAAGATCTCATTTTTTTAAAAACTTTCAAATGATCATGAAATAATCAGTTACAATGTCTTGACCAAATAATTATGAAATAATGCTATTTAGAAGACGTACTATAATGTAAAAGTGTGGCTTTTCTAAAATACACTATTCGTTGATAGACTGAACTTTGAAATTTATAAAATGTCATCAGTCATCTTTAAATTTAAATGGTTCATAATGAAGTTTTCAAAAGAGAAGTGACATTTATTAGATTGAAAATAAACTAATTAAATGTTAATTTAAATTCTAATAACACACTTAATTTAAACTTAGTCAGAAAATTCTTTTCATCTGTATTCAACGACTGATTAATAATGATATTACTCGTAATCTGTATTCATCGAATTTTCTGTTCTCTAACCTTCCTATACTGCTGACATTTGACAAATCAAACTGATAGACATTAAATGAAAGCATTAAGAAACAATTTAAACTTACATAAAAAGTACACGTTCTTTAATAAATAATTCAATTGTAGCCAAATTTACAAATATCACTTGTAATGTACAAAAATAAAATAATCCAGTACGATTTTGTATACCAGATTCTAAAGAATCATTCATTTGAAAATAAACTATACCCATAGATAATGCAAAAAATAAATAAACAATAGTTTGTATCACTGATGCTAAAGGATCACGTAATAGATTCAATATTGATCTCCAACACACTTTATTGATTTGTCGAATATATGATGCAGCAAATGATATATCTACAGCATTATCTTTGCTCTTTTTTGAACCATTTTCATATTTTTCCAATCGATTAGCGATTGAGCTAACTTCTTCCAGCACACTATGTAGTATTGTTTTTAAGTAGAAAAGAGTAAACGTCATCAAGTAAGAATATATGTATCCATCGAAATTATTACAATATCTTTAGAAATGTATAATATTTTATGCAAATGTTCAAACACCAAGCTCAACAGCTTTTTTCAATAAAAAAAAACTCTTAGTGAAGTGTATTAGGAATAAGTTCAATAATCAATCCAAACGACATATTTTCTAATTAAATAAATAGTCAGGGACTGGTTATTTTATTTATTTTCAAGATGGGCTAAAGCATCTTGTCAAATTAACTGATCTCTTGGATAGAATTCTATAACTCGTTCCTTCCATTTCTCTTTATAGAATATTTTGATAAACAGAATAATTATTAATCAAAGACAGAAGGCAACATTCGACTACTAATTACCTAACATGAATAAAACAAATAATTATTTTCTTCATACTGGTTCTTTGTCACTTTTTTGATGAATAAATATGCCATTATAAATTTTAGCCGTTTATTCAAGACCCGGGGTTACGTGGACTTATATTTATATAGGCCACAAATATGGAGATTATGAATAAATACCCAGTACATACTATTAAATGATAATACTTTTCTTTGTTCATCTGTAAACTAGGTTTAAAGGTTCTCAGCGAAGGACAGTTGACAGAACAATGATCAATCAATTCAAAAGTATGTTATACAGTGTCAGTTCTGTTTTGATAGTTCAAAGAATTTATTCCTTAGAAAACGGAAAAATGACTTTTTTTTCCATATTTTCTGTAATAGTTTCGATAATTAATTTCTTGTTTTTATTTAATCACATGAAAGGCGTTTTACTTATCAATGGATTGGTTCTTACCATACAATCAAGTATGGTGACTAGATTCTTGAAAGATCAAGTTTAATTGTCTTATCTTAGGAAAGTGTAAAGTTTCAAAGTCAATCGAAATTAGGTTAATATTGTCACTATTTTGGATTTCAACAGTAATTTCGTACAAAAACATACCTTTGTTTACTTATTTTGTATATTAGTTGACAAAAAAAAACATTTTACACATGTTAACACCATTTTTATATCATAAATCGAATTAAAATAGCAAATTTCTAAGATTATGTTATTGTTAACTTTTACTGATTGAATAACGAAATACGTTAATTAGTTTATAGATTAATATACATACTGTTGAGCCATTTCAGAAGTTTGCCAGTCTTGAATAAGTTGTTGTCCAACTAAATGCATTCTTTCTTGAGTATCATGATGATCCATAATTTGGATATCTAGAATAATAAATTTAATAGGGAATATGAAAATTCTTCACATTATTCAAATCAATTAGAGAGCGTATACGATTAATATCTAGGATTCAATCAGTAGTTTTATAAGTCATGCTAACAATTATGTTTGAATTATATGGTGTACATTGAAAGATAGCAATATATTTGAAACATATCTATTAAAAGACCGATAAAAAATCAGAAATCTTTACAGATTTCTTATTTTCCCACAGACTGTTCGTATGAATTTGTAAGGCCATATAAGAGAACCGAAGCAGAAGCTACTGATTTTGAGTCCTGATGTGAGCGTTAACACACCTGCGGGTACGTCCAGCTGATGAATCTCAAATATAACGGGACGTGCTTCCTGAATTTTATAACTAGCCAAAAACCATCTGTTCTGTAAAATAAATAAGAATTATCTAGCCGAAACATTTTGTCTTTGAACAACTGGTTTAGGATTCTACTATTTTCACTTACTAAAATCAATATTTCTTTAAAAATGTAAGACTCAAGATGTAAAACTTCGTTGTAACTCATTTCTTATCTTTTTATTCATGGAAATACAGTCTACAAATAAATTTTAGAAGGACGATTTAGTGTTTTTTATCACAAGTGACTTTCTAACTGAATGTCAAATTCCAAAATCAAAATTCTTGACCAACTTCTATAATAATACTTCGCATACTATATGTAACACAAGTTCTTTTGACAAAGTTAAGTGTATCTATGAGATAGTGGAGAAGATTTGTAGCTCAGGTGGATGATTTTGGTGGAGTTTTGTTCTCTGAGCTGGATGGTTTGGTCGTGGAGCTTTCATCATTCTTCTGAACGACATCATCAGCACAAACTTCAAATAGAAGTGAAGTGTTCGAATTTCTCCATATGTGTTTCACAGCTTGTTCTGTGCACCTAGATGTTGAGTGGTTCTTGTTGACCTTAAATTTATCATTGTTTACTTCTTTGTTTTGGTTGTGTCTCCCATTGGTTTGTTTTTTTGTTCCTATATTTATGCATGACTTTCCTGATTGGTTGATAAATTGGATTGATTTCAATATGTTTGTTGATTGCTGATTGACCTGAGTGCCAGGCTTCTAAAAATTCTCTGGTGTTTTTGGAGTTTCCTCTGTCTAAGATTTCTACATTTTCCCAATCGAATGAGTGTCCGTAGTTATCCACGTGTATTGATATAAGTGAAGAGATATCATGGCGTTTGACTGCTAATTGATGTTCATGTAAGCGTAGGTGGAGGGGGCGTCCGCTTTGTCCGATGTAGTGTTTGTCGCAGTTGGTACAATTTATTTTGTAGATGATGTTTGATTTGTTTTCCAATGATAAATTTAAGGTCAACAAGAACCAATCATCATCGAGGTGCACAGAACAAGCTGTGAAACACATATGGAGAAATTCGAACACTTCACTTCTATTTGAAGTTTGTGCTGATGATGTCGTTCAGAAGAACGATGAAAGCTCCACGACCAAACCATCCAGCTCAGAGAACAAAACTCCACCTAAATGTATCTATGTATTCTCGAAAACATCCTAATAAATTCAAGTTAAAGGTGAGTGATACACAATGATATTTGGAAAGTTAAAGATAATTTATAATGTTTAACTTTAGTTACAAATACAAGGATCATGAACTAATTCAAGTTGTCTTTCATATACCAAGTGAACCATCACACTCAAATTTCAGTTATTTTTTAAAATACTCGGCTTGTGTAGCAAAATCATTCAAGTGTCTATCTTCAATAACAAAATTGAAATTGAGAATCGACTGGTATTTTCACAAACAGTAATCAAATGATCATTATTTAAGATTCAGTTTTGAATTCTACTTTTTAACTACACGCATATTTCGTCTTAAAAAGATATTTTGGAACAGTAGATTAATCCTTTAGATAACAGTCTAGTGTTAGATGCTGTTAACTATTGAATGTTCGAAATCTAAAATCGCAACAGATATTCAGTTAAGTGTTCATACTGCCTAAGGCAGAATACGAAAATCATAAATCGATTGATGTTATACCAGCATTGAAAACCTGTAAGCACTGGATAGCCGTTTTGTCCTAGCGTGGGACTCCTAGGTTCGAATCCCGCGTGCGCGATCGTGGATGCACACTTCTGAGGAGTCCCATACTAGAACGAAACGGCCATCCAGTGCTTCCAGGTTTTCAATGGTGGTCTAACATCAATCGATTCATGATCTTAATCAAAATTATTATTATTATTATTATCATTATTACTATTATTATTATTATTATTATTATTATTATTATTATTATTATTATTATTATTATTATTATTATTATTAATTCACTCGAATTAGTTAACTTTGATTTATCAACGCCTTTTTAAAACTATTTTAACAGTTACATAGGAAAAATTCATTGTCTTTCGACCTATGTAGTGACTTCAAGGCTATATTTTGAATCGTAGACCATCTAGTTAGAACTAACGAATTTTACGTTTGGAATAAATATTCTAATGTTCATCGATTACCAAGCATTTCTCCTTCATAGTTTATATTCACTGAGAGTATAGTATGTTGCTCAGCTGGAAGGCCGTCATTATCATTTGTTAGGCTGAACAGTAATATATAAATCATTTTCTCTGGATGAAATACTAAGACAAATTTCATGTGTGCTTTCATTTTGCTTGTGTTCTAGTGTATTGAGCAGGCGAACAGTTATTTATCACTACTATTACAACTACTACAAAGTGTGACGTTGATGATGAATAAATAATATTGTTATTGAAACTAGGAACCGACCTTAGTTAAACATGAACTGAATATCTGGAAACGCTGGACCGTTGTTTCATCCTAGCATGGAATTTCCCGGACATGGGAGTCCACAATCTCACTGGCTACCGAACCCAGAACATTCAGGTCTAGCGTAAATAGATTAACCTTAATCGACTTTTGTATTCAGATTAAAATATTATTAATATTTGATCTATGCAAAAGTACCTGACGTATTTCCATGTTGACGCAAACATTCACCATGTATAACATCCATGAAAAAATCTGGCGGATTATTATGATTTTCACAAACATAACCTGAAACAATAAAATAAAAAGGCTTTATCAATTTAATCGCATAACAATGAATCTGTGTACTTCAGTTTGAGAGTCACATCTACTGTTCTCAGTGGTGATGTTAATATGAAGGGCTAACAATATTTGGTGCTTACTGAATTAGAATGAAGTTAAACACTTTCCTACAAGCTACTTCATTCAATAATTAACTGGATATTAGCTTCACTTGTAAAAATAGAAATTTAATTATCAATTGCTTTCAAAGCCAGTTCTTTTTTCGTTCAGTGTTATTATTTGTTTTATCATGGCCTGGGACTTTTCAGAAGTGTACCCCTATTATTCTTCAATGAATAGAACTCGAAAGCCGTAACTGTGTCTGCAAACACAATATCTATGGGCGATTGGGTAGAAGTCAACCTATCTATAATATGTCTGTATAGTTAATTTTGCGTTGCGGTTCACTATAGCTTTTATAGTTGATGTTAATCCATAACAAAAATTATCAGAAAATATAATTGATCTTTACAAACCATTGGAACAAAACTAATAATTTTTACCAGAAACTAAATTTCCTGGTTGATTGTATTTCAAGTTTCAGAAAGTCATTGCATAGAATATTAGTTATTCAAGTATCATATTATATCTGATGTATTGTACGTATCTAATGATAAAACGATCTAAATTTTTTTTAAAACGGATTCATAAATAATGAATATTTTGGATATTATAATTTTAATAGTTGAAATCGTAAGTCAAGTGAAGCTAGACTATCATGAAAAACCTGGAATCACTGGATGGCTGCTCTCTTGGATGCACACTGCTGAGGAGCCCCACAATAGGACGGAATGACCGTTTAATGCCTTCAGGTTTTCTATGGTGGCCTAGCTTCAACTGACTCAAAATTATTAAATAATCATGGAAAATGTGGAGTCAGTTACGTACCCAAACGACCAAAATAACGTATTGGTTCTTTTTTTGCCAATCCATGATAAATTATTTGACCTCGATAGATTAAAGTTAACGTATCAAATAATTTGTAAATTGAATATTTAGGTTGATGTATAGAAAATATGATGGTACGACCACGCTTGGCTAAACTGTTGGAAACAGATATTAAGGTAAAGAGAGATACTTAATACCAGAAATAAACCCACATAGAATTTCAAAATCATGAATATTAAGTAATGATTGAAAAATTTGACTCTTATGGATTATAGATTGTAATATAACTCTGTGGGTCGTAGTAGGAAACTCTAATTATTTGAAGATGTCATAAGTAGAATGCTTATTTTAAGGTTTCAATATATTATATCCCTTATATATGAAAAACATTAAAAATACTTGAATTCGGTAGCTTTGTTAATTACTCCATTAGTAGCATTCTATCGTCGTTGATTTTACTCAACTCTGTTTGATGTGTATTTAGTTGCCCTGAATTTGACTCCAGTAATATCGTATGAATGATTGTTATTGAAATACACATACCTCTAATCCTCGACTTAAATCGCGTTAGTGAATAACGGAATTAAGTAAGCAAAATAGAAGAATGGATTTCGAACACATATATTGTGTACACTCAATGATGTGAACAGGCAAGCAGAGGGACAGAGCGAAGGAGGCGAAAAGAAGAAAGTGAAGCGAGATGACGTGCGATAAAAAAGGCATGTAAGCCAACTCCATTTAATCAAACATCAGTCAATATTTATAGCCAGATAAAAGTAGGTTACGGACCTGAGGATAGGGCAGGATGTGTACACACATACGCTCATATATAAACAGTCAAGATTTATAAGTGGGTAGTTAACATGGTCAAAACGTGACTCAGAAGAATGGATAAATTGGCCTGTCCAGAAGCTAGAATAAGTTATAGGGGCTCAACATGTACATGTACAAAACAAGTTGTATAGAAAAAATTGGTAATTGTACTTTTCAACATTGGTAATTGATAGTGACATTGAAACTAAAGCATAACTTGTCCTAATTAACCACTTCCTTTGATTTTCAGCTGCTCTTGTTAGGGGATTTCATATTAACAGATCTACTAAGAATTCATATGTTAGTACTTATGAATAACTTACAATGAGGTTACATATAGGTAAAATTAGAGTAATTCACTTTATTCAAATGGAAAATAAAATAAAATCATCAAGTAAATTGTTCTGTTTCTTACGCTTTAAGTGTTTTTACGACTTGGCCTGCCATGTATGCATCTAAACCAGTAGTCGGTTCATCTAAAAAAAGTACTGGTGGCTCTGTAATAAGTTCCATTCCAATACTAGTTCTTTTACGTTCACCACCTGATACTCCACGAACTAATTCAGTCCCAACCTAAACAGAAAAACAACAGGAAGGCGGACAATTAAAATAAACTGATAAATTCCTAAGTTTATAAGAAATGAGAAATCTAAGGACATTTTAATGTAAAAAAATATGCATTTTCCATATTTATGTTTATGTATACTTTAAAAAGCAATAGCTTCAATATAACATAGAAATTAATACAGTAAAGTCTATACATATTATACCCTGTAAGTGTTTTTAAAATAATAAATGCCCATAAGTTATATGGATTACAGTGATGATAGACGATTCATTAAGTTTGTGCAGTAAACATCAAATGACTCTCATAAATTTACACAAACGTAACCGTTTTAAGAGATACGCAGATATGACAACAATAATTTGTTAACTTTATTTAATATGACATTTTGTTATACTATAAATAGATTTCACAGGTTGAAATCATGAATCAGTTGAAGCTAGACCACCATGGAAAATCTGGAAGCACTGGACGGCCGTTTCTTCCTAGATTGTAAATCTACTAGAAACTGCAAATTAGAAGTTCTTTATCAAAAGAGTAGTATAATGATCATGAATTGAGTTTAATATTTCAGTTGTAATTTCATGAATTGATGGTTGATTTACAGAAATTTTTGTTTAGCAGTAGCTTACATTTCAAGTAATTCTCTTAGAATATTGATGATGAGTATATCTTGAATCATAATAATAAAGATGTAAACATCAGCTCTTCTTTCTAATACTTTAATAAATGCTCTGAACAAAGATCTTTGTTCTTGCTCTCTTTAAAACAATAAAGGGAACTATGTGTACATGTTAACTGGCAAACACAACTGAAATTTATATAAGGTAAGTATTTGTCTACTTTTGAGTATTTCAACAAGGAATTGTTTTTTTGTTTGTTTCACTGATGATATCATATTATAGAGTATTTGAAGTGATATTGGTGGGATGAAAAGTCAAAATTAGGTTAATTTACTCATAATGATTTTTGGTTCAATATTAATTTCGTTTTAATTCAATGTGCTGTTTTCTCATATGACCTTTTTATTCTGTATAATATACAATACTCTTGTATTAACATGAACAATACTCAGCATATAATTCGTATTATTCATAAATGTGATTTTATTCTGATTACTAATCAAAAATCGGTTTATGAAACAATATATAAATGAGTGTATTTTTGACTAGACTTGTCGTGGTTTTTTTCGTGATTCTGGCTGCTTGCGGAATATATATATATATCCCTCTTCCGAACATAGACTTTTCTCTCTAGTTAGCTGGACTGGGAAACATCGAAATAGCTAGTTTATTTGTCATTGTGTTACAGAGTCTTCATTCTGTGGAGATAGACCCGACAACTTTATTTTGTAAATAGTTTTCAATGTTATTTGTATTTATTTCGTCAACCTTCCACTGTATGTATATTTAACATTAAATGACTGTAACTGTTGTTTTAGTAAAATGACCTTGAACACACTTTCCGTTGTACTACTACATAGCATGACATACCGCTGCTGGTTAACAAATACACTGCTTCTCACACACTCCTCGTTCTATTTTCATTTGTGATTGAGCTAACTGAAGTTTAAATCAAATACTATCTACATTTATAGACTGTAATCGGAATATATCACATCCTACTTTGGACTATATCACTAGAGAGTTCGCCAACCAGCTCAGAAACAACAAACATTTATAATTGTGGATTTACATTACTGGACCTAATCATAACACACAACGTTTGATCAATTTAAGTAACGTCCCTAATTTTTATTGTATTTGTAACAATTAATTAACTGGACGCAGCTAGAAAGGATTGCCCAGGACAGGGTTGGATGGAGAATGCTGGTGAGCGGCCTATGCTCCTTCACGAGGAGTAACAGGCGTAAGTAAGTAAGTATTAATATTACTATTGATTTTTAATAACTTTGCTTATACTTTTTTGTGTTCATATCTGTTTGGTCCACCACAATTCCGTTCTCAGATTAGGTGAACACGTAATCTCTTCAAATATAACATTAAGTATTTTTAAATAAATAATACTATTATTTTTAGGGTATAAATAGCTGACAACAATCTGTAAAATAAATCCATTCACTTTAATCTGTTAACATTATTGTTTTTTTAAATCACTTAAATATCTATAAAAGATAATAAGCATAAAAATTAACATGAGAAGAAGACTTCTGAAGTATTAACACTTGAAAGATATTTTGTAAGTCATTTATTCATCCATGAAAATAATACTTAACTCTCAGGCTTTATTTTTACTTGTGCTATCAACAACAACAACAACAACAACAAAGTGAAAGTTTGACCGAAGTCAAATTACTGCTGTGGTTTTTTTTTCATGATGACAAAACGATAACATATATCAATACGTATACAGAGTAAGTTGAGTTCAGAATGATAATGAAAAAAAAAACATGAATAGACCTGTATTTCTATTATTCTAACAGTTCTCTTTGGTTATTAACTCTGAAATATCTATCTCGAACTTCTTGTTTTTAAATGAAGATTTTAATAAAACTAAATGTATTTATGTCAATGTTTAGAAATGACAGATAATAACAATTATTTGGAAAACAGAATATATATGTTCATTTATTTGGAAACAACATTATGTACATTAGAATAAAAATCATTTCATGTACTTAGTAATTTCTCAGTAGTTCTTTTAAAAGCGTAAACATTAATAGTTGTTATAACCATGGTAATTGATATTTGCAGATCACAAAAGTTGGTTATGTGTTATCTGACATGAAAATAAAATTGAACTTATAAACCATTGGATACCGGCTCACTGGTCTAAACATTAAGCGCTCACTGCAAGACCTAAAAGTCTTGAGTTTGATCTCCATAGGGACACTACCGAAGAGTCTCATGTTAAAATTAAACAGCTTTTCAGTGCCTCGTGGTTTCCTATAATTGTCTGAATAAGGTAAGTTTGTTATGTAAAGTAGAAAATTCAACAATCCTCACAGATACATACTAATAAGGAAATTTATTTGAGTCTATTCAGAAAACATAATCTACATAAGCTGTAATATATTGTTATTAATAGTGATTTTTGTCTAGCTAGTTCACAATAAAGGTGGTTTTATGAGCAGATTTTCAATTTCACATCTGTTCCTACAGATGTATACAAATGTTTAGGTAATGTTATAAACATTTCCTTACCTTACTATCCGCTACAGCATTTAAACCCAATTCATCAATGATATCGTTGACCTTTTGATTTCTTTCTTCTGTTGTACAATGCATAGTCATTCGTAGGGCTGCTGAAAAACTTAAATTCTCTCTTACTGTTAAGGTTCCCATTACAATATCATCCTACAAATTGTACAAAATCAAGTATAACTGTTAAATACAAAACGGTCTTAGTATAAACAATAATAGAAAATATCTATATAATCCGTATGATGTTACAGACTGGAGTTAGATGACGATAAGCCATACTCTTAGTTGTATATTTCTGTTTTAATGGTCAGGTTAATAATAAATAGCTATTAACTGAACTTCATTATTTGTCACATGCTTCAAGAAAACATAAATACTTCTGTGACAACAAAATGATCATATCAAAGGTGTTTTTAATTTCGTAATGTTTTACGTAAAATTTGTTGATAAATATCCAGTTACTGAACGCCATGAACTGAAATTCCTGTTAAACAACTATGACCGTTACAAAAATCCCTTCCTTATATGTATATTTCATAAGAGAAAAACCCGTCATATGAATTGACATTGATTTTCTTGGTTGTTTAAAGTCTTAGTATAACAAAATACAATAGTTGTAGTCTCTGAACAACTACACTAGTTGAATAAAAAGGTATGATAAAGAAGTGGTTCTTTGAAATATGCAGTTGTATAAATTATTTACCTGAACAACATAACCGGAAATACACTTGAAGTTTTTCGGTTGAGGTCTACCGTCAATTAAAACTTTTCCAGAAAGAAATCTCGGATCTTTACGACCAGCTAATACATCTAGAAGCCTTAAATAATTAAACAAAGATTATAAATTATCACAAAGAAATATTTTAAAAAATCGATCGAAAATATAAGAAGGTGATAAAACTTTTTCTCAGATTGGTTAGTAGTTTATCACTTTGAACGTAAAATATATCGAAATTAGTTTAGGATTCTAGGGAATTTATCATACCGAAAACTGTGTTTACAATGAACCAATAGCATACTAAGTAGCTCCGTTATGTTCTTTCGAGTGTTTACACCACTCAACATCTTTGAAATAATGAAATCGAACTGATATATCTAATACATAACAGAGACACTTTGAGCTATACATTTACAACTCACTTTTTCAAAATCTTTTTGATAATCCAGTTAGTTGGTGATTTAATGTGATTAATGTTAATTAAATTGGTTAATTGAATTTAACGTATGACTTCACAAAACATACTTAAAACTTTCTCATTTCAGAGAATAATATTTCCAGATTTACGTTTTATTCACATGAAGTATGGATATAAAATTTATTTTTTTTCTATGGAGGACAAATTTTGAAAAATTATTTTGTTAAACTTTAATAAATGTGTAACATCTAATTTCTAATTCATTATTATTATGCAACTAGATGAACGTAGAGCTTCGCAAATTTGGTCAATTCTAGAGTTTACGCATATTCTCTTAGGCTAACAATTAGACACAGAATCATGATGAAGACAATGATTATCTATTAGCAATAAGGCCCAAAGAATAGTTGTTATGTGACTTGATTAACCATGTACTTAACTTTCATTTTGGCTTTATTCCAGCCTTGACAGTTATATTATTTAATTTGTTGCTATTACTATTATTGCTAAACAACTAGGATATGAAGAGCTTTTCAGTGTGTTTGAGGATAGTTAACAAGTTAGATACTTAAATATACAAAGAGAATTATTCATAGTATCGCTGAATGTCTACTGAAAAATATGTAACAAAAATGTGCAGCTTTTGGTGGCACGTTGATCTGACTCCGATTTGATCGTATGATGAACTTAACGAAATATACATGCCGCCTACCTTCGTATATAGTTATCGACTTAATTCTTGTTGGAGAATAAATACGAGGATACATTTCGGATACGTATATTTCACTCACTCGTTACCACAGTCATATAATAAGAGAAAAGGACCGAAGAAAACAAACATGCCAATACCTTTTGATAACGTGTGACTCAACATTTATAGCCAGACAAAAATAAGCTAAAGACATGTGATGAACAGGGTAAGCGATACACGCACGCTTGTTTAAAAAGCAGTCAAGGTTAATAAGCGAATAATTGACAAGGTCAAAATGTGACTTATGAATAATAAACAGATTGGTCTATCCGCCTGCGGAAAAAATCCACGTTGTTAAGCTATCTAAGTGCATTATAGTCAGTAATTACGGTTACATAGTTTAGTTTAGTCACTCAAATTCAAACCTACTTTGTATATTCAAAAACGGTTTGTTCACACCTTAAACCTTTCCTGGTAATGTTAGCTTATTATCCAGCGTGATGTTTTTCATATTATTTTCTTTATTATCTTTGTCTCCTCTTGCCTCTCGCCATTTCTAGTCTAGTTAACCTTTTATTTTTATATATAAATGTTCTTAACAAGTATATGTGTGATCAGATTGTTCGAAATGTATTGCGCTAATAAATCACATAGTTCTGGTAATAGTCTTCTTATTACACTATGAACATAATGTTCAATTTAAAGAATGAATTGCCAAAAACGAATAAGTTATTTGTAATATAGAAGTCCTCAATTAATTTTTCCCAATAGGTTTATTATAATTAGCTATGGTGATTGTTCTACAATATTTAGGACAAAAGTATTATTACGTAGTGTAACGAAATTTGTCTAAGAAGGTATAGAAATAAAAAGAAGTCGTGTGAGCTTAACACACTAGATTATCATTATAGTTGGTTAGAAAATTAAAAATGAAGAATGAAAATGTATAGTATGCTTCCGTTATCAAGTCAGTTGAAGGTTAATCACCGGCACTTTTTAAGCACAAAGATCAGGCTTAAGCCATCGAAACGTTAAAGCTTCCGCAAATCTTAATAAGATAGAATCGTATTATTTATTGATCACTGTGGATGAGTTCACGGGGTCAACGTTATCCCCAGCGTCAACTAAATAACAATCTATCGAACTACGAAGGCTGTTTTGTCCTCAAACGTGTAAATTCTTAGGGAATATTTTCAGTAAAAAGAGTAGAGGTTCAACTTTCTATTCTTCAAATGTACATTCATTACATTTAACTTGACATAAGCAGTTGAACGGAATACATGGAAGGTATTTATCTACTTTTGTTTGTGTTACTGAACATAGTGTTTTGTTTAGTAGAACCAGTTTCACACTAGAGAATGCACTTTTTTCAAGGATGTTTTTAGTTTTTGGTTATTTCTATTCATGTGGTTTAATTATCAGTCATAAGGTGTTACGAAAGATAACCATAATAAAAATATAAGATATTAACTAAATACCTGTTTCTCACTAAGTAACCATTGAAAAAAAGCAAACAAGAACATTCTTATATGATCTCATTAGCTTTTCTGTACACTTACGAAGATTTTCCACTTCCAGTTGGTCCCATAAGGGCATTCATTCCGGGTCGAAGAATTCCACTAACATAAAACAAAATAAAACAAACCCCATATATACTAAGAAATATTCTATTATTGTAGAAGATTAACATTTATATGAAATACTAGACAGCTTTCGGTCAGGCAAAGGTTCTGGTGTCGATAAATAAAGATTATTTCAAGTGTTCATCAGAAACTGTCTGACATTCTGGCCGCTGGTTTATTACAGTCAATGTAAGACTGACATATGCATCAGCACAGGTTTCGACGTTTCATATTCAAATAACGAGAGAGAAAATCAACAAGATACAAATAAAAGTAGTCGAAACGATAATACCAGTGGTAATCAGAATTCAATAGAACATAATTTTCAAAAGAAATAAATGAATTCAAAATATGAAAATATCAAATAGCACTGAATTTTCATATTTAATATTAAATAATGAATAAATACATCATTGACATAGAGAATGATGTAAAGTCATAACATCTAAAATGTTCAAACATATATTACAATTATTGTGACTGTCTCCAAGAAGAAGTCTACACCTCTTGAACCTGTGAAGTTTAACAATAGATGACTTCATAAACTATCACCACATCTTGAAAGCGTATGGTAGCGGTTGGTTACGAGTTCATGTAATTTTCGACTGATTGCTTGATAAGCAGACTACCCAATCACTTCAATCAACTTACCTAGCAAAATATTTCAATTTAGAAAGTGATAAATATCAATTGGAAGAGAAAACTACAATATTAAGCGAATAATACAGTTACTGAACATCTAATGGATATTGGACATCAGGTCGATATCTTGCGATCTTTCAAGGTGATTATAAAATAGTCAAATTCCGGTCTACTGAAGTTTAATGAAGCCGTTTCTATCAGGCGTCAGAAACCTGATTTATGTGTTAAAAAGGAAATCGTTGTTAATCCTTGTTTGACTCGGTGACAAATATTCTTTCATTACATCATAAAATTTTGTCCAACTATTTCTTTCAGTTAATTACATTATTAAGTTTTCTTATTTCGACTGTCTTCTAGTTTAGTAATCTTATTTTGATTGATTGAGCTTTACTCAATTTATTCCTGCTTATTACTAGCATATATGCATTATGTAACCACTTGTTTCTAATTCTTTAAAACTTTGTCACTATCACTGTTGTAGAGTGAGTGTTCTTTTACCTAAGCTATTTATTTACAATATTTTATTCAGTCTATTAAACTTACTTACACACTCGATATACCTTACTGATATGTTTTCTAAATAACTTCTAACTAAGATTTGCTATGCAAGTAATTTAAACTCATTTTGTAGTTATGATTTTTAGATATCACCGGTTGTAAACAGTTGATGCGAACCAAACAAAATAAAATGAATTCCTTCTATTCTGTTCAAATATTTGTTTTTTTGCTCTCTTTATAATCAATAATTCTTGCTCCCTCAGTAATTTAACATCAGTCTTGTTGTTTGAGTGACTTTTATGTACCCTTATGATTATTTATAACTGCCATATAATCTTATTCTTAACTTTACATTTTCCTTGATTATTAAATTAATATACATTTTTTTCCATTACATTTTTATCATTTTATTCTGTTACATATCATTCATTTGCTAGTTTATTGTTTTTAATTATTGTCCTTAATTTTAACAATTAAAATAGGTCATGGTATTATTTGTTATTACTTATAATCTAGCTGTTTGTACTCCACACTTTTTTTCAAAATTCTCTACTTCTATATATCAACCTATTAACTATCTATTAGAAAATAGCAATATTGACTAGGCTGTAAAGTTAAATATTGATTGAATAATATATAATATACAAGTGCAACGAATAAACCAGATCAGTAATTGACAAATAAAACATGTGAATCTTTACGAAGTTTATCATGGAAATGAATCCAGCAGAACTGAAATAGTTACTGGGATTTTCTTTAAGTGTTTTTGAATAATTTCTTACGTATATTAGACATAAATTTAACTGTTATATAGCGCTAATTTGTAAGTTGAGACTAAGTCAATTTCATATTAAAAGTATCTATAGTACTGTGTTTCAATACATATCACATAAAAATAAGCTGCACCTCATAAATACTCCTAGACGGTGATAGTAAGTGTATGGATTTATCTTCAATGGAAATCTGCTTGAAACGCAAGTACTTGCAAGAGATAATAAAAAGGAATACAGATTTTTGTGATGACTAGTTAACAGCTTACCATCCCCACATATACTATGGCAAAGATATCGGTATTAAATATAAATTTAACTATATGATACCAATAGCATTTTTTTATTTATAAATCAATTGAAACCACCATCAGTAAAGTGGGCCACATTCTGAAGATAAAAATGTCGTGTTATATTATAGTGTTTAACATGTGCACAGTTCCAAGATTCCAAACAATCTTTGTGTTTGTGTTTGCTAAAAGAAAATCAAACTTTCGAAAAAAATAATTGAGGATTGTAGAAATAAATTTAATATAATTCCGTTTATCATAGAAGATCCCTAATTTTTTCAATTGGCTTTGAAACAAAAAACAAAAGGAAACAAAAGATGTCATTAAGTTTGTGTTGTTTTCTAAGGCCCGCTGACCAATATCACGTGCCAAGTCATCAATCAGAATCCTAATCTTGATTTGGCCTGTTATTTAGCTACTCTTTATAACCTAACTTGAGTCCATAAATAGAAACCAACCTCTACTAAGTTTATATCTCAAACTATTGTGATTTTATGTCCGGCTTTTATTACGTGATCTATCCACCAAGCGAAATACGACTTATACAATTTTAACACTATGTCAGACCAATGACGTTCAACCGGTATGAGCAGTCTAGCGTCCTTATTGGTCCTATGTCCTCTTAGCCCGTCCACTTGAGTCCAGAATTCAACCCGCTTCTGCAATATGAATGGAATCGTCTATTTCAGACATACTCGGTTTATATATCAACCAGACAGACCGCAACGTACCATAAAATAGAAAATAATATTTGTGCAATATTTGGCCAAATGTGGCTGTGAATGTGGGAGGCAGTAGTCAATAAAATGAACGTAGCTTAAGAACCGTAAATCGTACAATAAATTATAGGTCAAAATAAAGTTTATAATAAGAGGAATGTAAATATACATAATCTAATTATTGAATAGTTATACAATAAGAATATTTATAGAACATTAGTCCATTAATAGTCCTCGGAAGTTACCCGTAATTTAATCTTCACTAGGATATAACACAAACAGACATGGTTTACATACAGACAAACCGGACTGTGCGATAACATAAAATGACAAGCGACAATCGTGCATAAAAAATTCAAAATTGTCTGTGAACAGGAGACTGTGAGCAACAGACCACAAGTAGTCAATCGTATGATAATAGTTTTTGGGTCAACTGAAAGCTTATGATAAGCAGAATATAAAGACAAAGTAATCTAAACACTTGATAATTATACAACAGAATTATGATTAATAATAATTCAAAAAACCATTTCCTACTTCTACAATATCCGTTCCGTTATAACTGTTTGCTACTATCGTCTTATATGTCATGGTTTACGCTAGAACATCGCCTATGATTGAATTCGATATCAGTAGTGCTAGAGCTTATTGATGGAACATATTGTCACAACTTTACTTCAATTTTACTTGAAACCTCTCAAATTACATTTTGTTCGTCAAGTTATATTTAATAAGGTTGGTAACGACATGCAAATTTGTGAAAACAGTGAAACCAGTTAAAAAGTGTACTGTACATCAGAAATTTAATTTTCTTCAATTAATTTCACCTGAAAAACAAGCAAATGACATTAAGATCAGTAGATTTGTTTTATACTCATCATAGACGGAATTCGCCACCGACAACTTCTGGATTTGCATAAGATGTGGCTTTCGATTCGAGCTTTAAAATTGCATATTTTTATTTCTTGTTATCCCTAGCTTGTTGTGGCTTGAGGACGCTGATCGATATCATGCGTTATACCGCTCAATCAGGATTCCCATTACCGATTAGTTCACCTGCATCCCAGTAGGTTCGACGACCAATTTGCCAACTGACACACTGATCAATAAACAACGGCCTAGATCTTAACGTTCATTGACCCTCAAGATCATTTTTTTCCCAGTAGTCAATCTGAAGACACAGATAGGAATTAGATTTATTCTCACTCATAACTCAAAGCTCATACAATAATGTACTTAAAATGACTGACCACAGCACAAAAAACCATTATTTAAACACAATGACATCCCATGTGGTAGAAATTGTAAGGAACAGTTCATTATTAGTTAACAACAACTAAGGGAAAGTGAAACATATGGCAACGGTTAATAGGTTCACTGAAAGCTTACAATAAGAGGTATATCGAAATGCAATCACACAGTTATCTACTGTTTATACAATAGAGATATGAACAAAAATACTCCTAAAAATAATTCCGAAAATTTCGACTTTTTGGATATTCGTTTCGTTATAACACAAGTTTCACATAAATGGTTTCAGGATCATATCGTTGTTTCTAATTTGGATCACTAATTGAAGTCAACAGTCCAAATTTCTTATCTTTGCTTGACAGAATAATTAACAGATGAGAGCACACTATAAATAGTACTATTCGTTGGTCATTTTTGTAGTAGCCTTTTTTATTCAATATGGGCATAATTACAAGACTTTATCAATCTTAATTTAAATATATAAAAACAAAATACTAAATTTCTTCATTATTATTGATGATGTTGCATCACATATCAAATCAATATTTCTCAAGAGCATAACTTAATATGTTTTAAATCGTAAATCTACTATTCAGAGTGAACATTTATTCTGGGATGCAAATACACTTAGCTGACGAGTCTCAAATAGGACGAAACGCGCGTGCTGGATCCCACTGCTAGCCACTAATCATCCTTGCCATCCAACTTCTGTTTAAAAACAGCTTTAGATTACAGTAAACTATAATAAAGTATAAGAAACTAAGAATAATAATATATGAAAGGTAAACTGTAAAATTTTATTTTAGCAAGATTTTTTTCATCTCACCTTACATCATCAAGTATTGTCTTTATCACTGGTTTACTACAGATTGTCTTTTGAATTTTTACTTCATAAGAAATATGATGAAAAGAAAGTTTAGCACCACTTATTTTTTCTCGTTGACTGAATGAACTACCGGGAGTTGGTGGATATTCATCAAAATTTGTTAATGTTTGTTTTTTACTCATTGTACTTTTGACTTGGTTGTAACTTTTTTCAATATTTGTAGGTTGAATACTATTATTGGATGTATCCTCAGAGATTGTTCGCGAATTCATTTTTGTATATGGAAATTTCCCATCTTGTATTGTATCATGTAATGAACGATATTGCATATGATCTTCAGTTTGAGTGTAATTATGATCTAGAGGATCTTTCAATATTTTAAATGCTTCACAAGATCCATCTGTTGTAACTGGTAGATCTATGTGATCAATTGTATGATTGTGAAATAGTTTACTGTCTGGAAAATCAGACATGTTTGAAGAGTGTGTTGGCATTGATGTACTAAATTGAGTATCTTCAGGTGATGTGATTTGGCTACTATCAAATGGCTGTGGACTATTTGAGTTTATTAGCTGTTTTAGACAGTTGTGATGCTGAAATAAATATAGAATTTAGAATAAAAATCTCATTTCAAAAGAAATATTGTTTTAAATTCAAGCTTCTGATCAAATATACCTTTTCAATAGGGTTTCTTGCTTCAATGTCATAGAGGTGCGATTACATCCTATCAAACATATTTAGCTTGGTATCCATAGTTTTTAATTTATTTCGAGGTAAAATTTTTAAAGACTATGAAGTGCTATTATTCGCGCAATTATTGAAAACTAAACTGAAATGAACTTATTGTTGTATTTTATTCTGTCGTTCTAATATGAATGTATAATGTTTACCTAAAGTGGTATGGAACATGGTAGGTTTATACTTAGGAGAATGTAAATCAACAGGCGATGATTTCATAGAATAATCCCACTTTTCTATTTGGTTGTCTCTAGCTTTCTTCCAACCTACTCCTACATCACCAAACATGACTTGTCGAAGTTGTTCGTACCTAGACATCCGTAAACACATATTTAATAGTTAGTTTCCAGATAGAGTTTTTTAGTTCCCTCCAAAAACTAATGACTATTAGATTTTGTTTATATTTAGAATGAACTAGATATTTACTAATGCGACTTTATGATCACCATGATTTATTTGTGAATTGACCGACGTTAGGAATATTAACCGTTCGGTTATAGCATACAAATAAATACGTTATTGAACTCAATATCGTATGGAAAGAAATAGTTCCTTACAATTAGCTTCCTATTACTGTTCTGGATTAAGTATATAAGTTTTAAAACTAAATATAATATTAATATCATTCAAATAATTATGAGTTAATTAACAGTAATATCTATAATAAGAACCATTAGTTATTAATAGACAGGATACAAAATTTAGTTTTATCAGTTAGTTAAATTAAAAACCAAATTTTCATTTATATTGATTTTTTAATCAAATTTACAACTTGTGCATTAGCTTCAATTGACTGATGATCTCAACTATTGAACTTACTGCAATCTCTTCTGACACTAATCAACATAAGCTTACTGGTGACTTGCTACAAGAAGTATATCTTGAAGTTCTAGTGAGAATCAGTGACCAGTGAAGTTCAACCTGGTCAGTTGTGAGATAGTAACTGACCGATGACAATGGTGGATGTGTCGCTCAATTTCGTGGATTAGTTGAAGTTAGACATTAACCCCGACAGAGGCCGGTCAGATCAGTGGTCTAGTGGTTAAGCGCTTGGAGCAAGACCGATAAGTCCTGGGTTCGAATCCCGCGGAGCAGGGTCGTGGATGCGCACCGCTGAGGAGTTCCGCACTAGAACGAAACGGCCGTCCAGTGCTTCCAGGTTTTCCATGGTGGTCTAGCTTCAACTGACTCATGATCTCAACTATTGAAATTATGCATTAGTACTGAATTATGATAAGAAACTAACTGCAAGAAAATATTTTGGAGCTTCATTTGTATATTTATATATTATGTTTACTAAGATTATATTATCATGTTTTATTTCCCATATTTTTAAAATTATATTTAAATTGTAGTCATAAGAACTAGAAACGTTTCCTAATTAAGGATATTTAAATATTTCTATATATACGGTGTAATGTATTACAAAAGATATGCTTAATTCTTTTTTACAGAAAAGCCATGTGATGTGTAGAGCGCATTCTGGGAAAAAATGTTTCGAGATTTTCCAAAATAGAAATCAACACTTATTTAATCCTCACTCATCGTAAATTTGATTCGAATTTCTGTTTTATTGTCTTCCTTAGTTCATATGATTATTACGATAATCGTAATGATATTGGTTTTATTAGTAATATAATGTCTACGAAAGTAGAGATTTCATCAGTATCAAAGACAACAAAAAACTCAATCCAACTGACAAGTCTACAATAGGATGAAACATGTGTCCTGGATTCTACTGCTAGACACCATCCATCTCTGCCTATAATAAAGCAATGAGTTTAGTTATGAAGTAATGGTTACATTACTTTTTTTGTTTGGGATGGAATAAAAGTTTTATATTAGCCCTTCCAGAAATGATAATAAATAGACTGTCACCATGAACGATTCATAATTTATAGCTATTGATTCTATATTAGTTACTTTTTAGTATATTAACTCTTGTGTTCTTTGATGAAAATTTGATAGCTCCACATGATCTAGTAAACTATATCTTCTAATAAATTACTCAATTTAATTGTTTTCTGTATTTTGTCACTTATTTCATCACTTATTGCACTATTGTGGTGTTCGTTACTTGTCTGGACAGATATAAGTAGTATGTAGCAAGAATAGGAATGGATACCAGCAGGCGATTGAAATAAAGAGAAGAGGAAGGAAAACAGAGAGCATTCGGAATAATAACAAGATTGAAAAGATGGTGGAGTATTTAGAGGAAAAATCAAGAAAGATATGCAAATGATGTATTTAATGCATGATTTTCATAATTTACATATGCACTGTTCGAATCTTCATTTAACACACCACTGATTTCCTATCGTCGTAATTATTGGTTGGATTAATTATTCTATATAATTACATTTCTTAAATAATTCATGTACAAAACACATTATACTTAAATATCACTTATCTTAACATTTATAACTATAAAACAAACTGGCCATCCTATTATTTTTCTAAAAATAACTATTGGAAAGTAATATGGCTTGATTCATAAAAATAATACAAGCCCTAGACAAATACAAGGCTTGAAAAAACCGAGAGATGGCTTGATGGTTAAGATCTTCGACTTTTAATCACTGATTCCCTTTTTCAAACAACCCTAACTGGGTATTATTATTATTATTACCCTTCATACTTTGAATAATGTTAATACCGAAATATCTGGTCAGTAATGAGTTAATTTAAAACTTTTTTTGTAGAGAAAGATTCATTTATGCACCAAACACTAATTTAAATATTGATCAAAACAACATTGAAATATATACGATAAAATATCTATTATTATAATTATTCGGTCAGTACATTAATTTTAAAGTATTGAACTGGTAGCAATTAACAATAATTAATAAATAATTAGATGTGTGCATTTAATTTTTTTTTAAGTAAGTGCGTTGAATTCTTGTAACTATAGTGAACGAGAACATAAGTGGAGACAATTTAATGTATTTGAATACAAGATTACAAAATGTCTTAGTAAAATCTGAGATCCATATAATAAATATTTCATTTGCAAAATGTCAATCAATCGTCTCAGACTTCAGTGTTGTTGTTTTTTTTCGTTTCCACACTAATCATTCTCTGTTCTCGTTCTCTTCTATCTTCTTAACCTTCTGCCACCAGACATTTCATTTTCGATTGCTGATACATACTACTTATATCTGTCGACATTAGTAGCACACACCACATAACTAATACTTATAATTAAATGATTGAGCTGTATAGATTGTTTCTTTTTTTCTTAACAGAAAGTATAATTCATTGCAGTAGATAACATGAAGTATTCCAGTCAAACAATAGAAATGAAATACATCAATGTACTTTATTACAAATAAGGACATACAGTTTGCATGCAACTTTATAACCACACCCATAACACTTAAACAAATGAAAATTATTAGATAAAATGTTCATTTCATAAAATAAATTTCAACACTTGGTAATTACATAGAAATTTTCTTTTACTTTTTTTTTAAAAAAAAAAACTAATCACTACATTAGTTATGTCGATAAAGCATAATGCACGATAGGTATTCAATCATAAATATGTCATTTATTTAACAGTTATAATACAGTAAAACAATCCTATATTAAGCGATGTACATTATTGTATAGAATAAGAATTCTAATCTTATAATAAGTTTTATATAAATTATATAAGTATCAGGTAACAAAGAACTCTATACTGATGAAAGATGGTCTAGCTACTGTTTTTAAAACAATTTCTATACCACGTGTTATCAGAATTTCCTTGGAATGTTAGAAGAGTCAATTGATTGATCAATGTTTCTATGTTAGTCTTAATCAACTTTGTTTTCCTATATATATATATATATATATATATATATATATATATATATATATATATATATATATATATATATATATATATATATATATATATATATATATATATATATATATATATACATGTTAATTTAGTGTAAACTGTTTAGATACTGAAATTTACATATTCTGTTCAATATTTTATTGAAGGTTACAAAAGAATTATCTTGTTACAATATAAGAAACAAATAGTTAACTTGTTAGTATATTCTTGAAATTAATACTTTTTAATTAACGAAAATATTCTTTCAGAATCATTATTATTCTGAAGAAACAAACTACAAATTTAATTTTACCTAGTATAGGGGTTATGGAGATTATTAAGTTTCTTAGTGACATCATGAACCGACTGTTGGTAGACCACCACTGGAAACCTGGAAGCACTGAACGCCCGTTTCGTCCTATTGTGGGACTCCTTATCAGTGTGCATCCACGGTTCCGCCCGTGGGATTCAAACCCAGAGCCTTCAGTCTCGCGTGCGAACGCTTAACCTCTAAACCACTGAGCCGACATCCAATGGTGTTAGTGTCAAAGTCAACCAATCCACGAAATTTCGCGAACATCTTGCATTGTACTGAGGTAGATACCTGTCTCTACCCGACACGGATTAGCTCCAATGGTCACGGTTTCGCACTAGAATTCCGAAAATTCCCCCACGAAGCTAGTCACTAGTGAGCACATGTTAATTACCAGTATAGGTTCGAATCCCGCGAGCGGGATCGTGAACGCACACTGGTGAGGAGTACCATATTAGGACGAAATGGCCGTCCAGTGCTTCCAGGTTGTCACTGGTGGTCTAACATTAATCGGTTCATGATCTCAAACAATCATTTTACAATTTTTAATACGGTTAGTATTATCAACTAACGGGAGTATTTTCAATGATAATGTTGTACAGTGCCGAATCGGATCACAGTATTAAAGATATTCTAGAGGATAAATTATAATGAAAACTAGTTAAGCGTTCTTTTAACTCTAAGCTTTAGGTATATTATAGCATTATATTGAAGTATGTAGAATTTGGGACTTGTATATCAAGTTTTTAAGGAATTGATACCCTGTGTAGAATTTAAATTTACGTCAATATGTCACAGTAAAAAACCTTATCACTGAGCGATTCATGTTGCTACAGACCATCTGAAAGGTTGAGAAAATTACAAAAGTCTGTCACCGATAAGTAACCAATTTCGTGTCTTTAGGGCCGGTCGAAATCTATGGATTTTTCTGTCCATGCAAATGAAGTGAAATGTTTTCATGATTTATTTTGACTTCATTTTTGTTATCTTAAACAGCAAGCCTAAACCACTTTCCGAAAATATATCATAGTACACAATATGGTTTGGAGGTTGTAATCATCGTGAATTCCTTCTACTTGTAGTACAATTTGAACCTAGGTAGCACTAGACAACTTTGCTGTAATAAAGTGGGACTACTTGACTGTAGATACCCACGATTTCAATAAGGATTGAACTCAAGACCATCGAATCTCAAACGTAGAACCATTGGGTCAGTATTCTATCGTATGAATTCAACTTCATTCAGTTTGTGATATGCTGTGACTGTCATTCAACCTTATGGTTGGATACCTGTTTCACACCTGAAATACCTGAGCTCCTTTTGTCACTACTTCTTAATCCAACTTCAGAAACATCTTGAAATAAACCAGTAGTAAGCGGCAAAATCTGAAAAAGCTGGGTTCGTTGACTAGTTAGGTTATATATAAGAACTTCTGAATATATCGACACTTGTAAGTCACAGCTGTCTTGATGGTGCTCCAACTGAGATCAATTTCTGACGACTTTAATCTACAAATCAAACCGGTCTACCCAAAACCTCTTCAAAGAAATGTAAAAAATACTAACTTTTAATTATAAACAACGTAATAATATTGTTCCTCACGTTCAATTAGAAATTAATGTATACAATCAATACCTAGTGTTGAGTCCAAATATAAGCATTACTAATTAACATATTGTTGAATTTGATTTTTCAAAATATTTAAGTTAACAACAATGGATTGATGTCCATAAATCAGACGATTTCCAAAGCAATTGCATACCGGTAGATATGCTTTCCTAGAGATATTTAATCAATTGTGAAACATAATTTTAAATAAATAACCTAAAAAGTTAATAATTTATGCGAAATCTCTTTGCACAGCGAATGAATGTTTTCACCTAGATACTTGAAACAATATTATTACATTTTAGGTAGAGATGAGTGGTGGTTAGCAATAGAATCCACGAGGCAAGTTTCACCCTATTTTGGACTCGTCAGGTGTAATTACCTGCACCCTAGTGTTATTGTTCACCCCAGGTCTCGAACTTAGAGCCTTTCATTTCAAACGTCAAATCATTATTCGCTTCATTACCAAGTCCAAATAACCACTGGATGGGCAATGAAGTGAATTTTAATTCGTTCACACTGATCGTCTGGAAATTCATTTTGATGTTTAGAACTTCACTTTACCAGGGGCATCCAGCTGATTAGTTCCAAAATAAGACTAAACCTGCGTTCTGGATCCAAATAATAACTACCATACATCTCAACTTAAAATATTTGTACCTTTATGTCAATGTCAACGCAATCCGCACGGGATGCATGTGTGTCAAGAGGTATTGATCAACTCAAGTTATAAACACCAATGAAAAGATTGAAACAATCGATACAAATAAATTATTATTACAGACCTTTAACAAGAAAATGATGAATCAATAAAAATCTACTTCCTCTACTGAAGAGAAATACAACTGTATAAATTTAAGTTTAGGATAACTTCAAGTATATATATTTTTTTAAATAAACGAAAAATTTGTAGATTCAGTTTCAGATGTATAGTAATCTAACCCTTTTTCAATTTTATTTTGAAGTATAAGAATAAGTATAAATATAAACTTTGTAACGAGTGTTAAAATATGGTCACATACCTAGATGTTATACTTTCAACGATAATATCTTTGACTAATAGATTTATAAATTTAAATAATACAACTTCAACTGACTCATGATTTCAATCTGTGAAATTTCTAAAATCTCCACAAAACCCATTCTGAAAATAATAATCACCTGCTCACTAGTGACTGACTTCAGGAGACACTTCTGGAGTTCTAGTGAGAAGTCATTACCAGTGGAGTTCAACCAGGTCTGTTGTGAGATAGGAACTCACTGAGGACAATGGTGTACGGTAGCGCAACTTCGTGGATTGGTTGAAGTTAGACATTAACACTGTTGGATGCCGGCTCAGTGGTCTAATGGTTAAGTGCTCGCGCGCGAAGCCAGTAGGTCCTGTGTTCGAGCCCCGGGTGGTGCGGGGTCGTGGATGCGCACTGCTGAGGAGTCCCATACTAGGATGAAACGGCCGTCCAGTGCTTCCAGGTTTTCGATGGTGGTCTAGCTTCAACTGACTCATGATTTCAATCTGTGAAATTTCTAAAATCTCCACAAAACCCATTCTGATAATACAAAGATGATCACATCAAACTCTAAGATATTGTATTTTTAAAAAAAAATTATTTCATTTACTTTAAATACTATTATGTATTTAAAAAGCTTACACTTCTTAAATCCCTAAGTGTTTTATTCATTCTTGGTAGAGAATTATATTGTTGAGATTGTATTACTTGTTCATTTTCATGCTGGAAATACTTCATCTTGTCATTATTTGATGTAAATATTTCTTTTTTATAATCAGAATTCTGAACTGATTGATTAGTTTGTTTAATAATTTGTGATAGACTATTGAATTCATTGAAATTTGTCGATAAATTATGATGAAATTTTTGTTTGTTTTCATTTATGTAATATTCACTTAGGGATGTCATGATTTTATGATTAACATTATAATCATTATTAATATTATGATTACTATTCGTGTTACCGTTGGTGATAATGGTAGTATCATAATGATTTATAGACATTAATGTCATTTCGTATTCTTTTGATCTTTGTTTGTTTTAACGTTTTCATTTCACTGTGTTATGTGATCAGGTGAGTCATTACTATTATTGTCATCATCATCAATAACACTGTCGTTGTGATGTGAACAATCTTTTGCTGTTACTGTTGAATGTATTCCAGATTCATGAAAGTCAAGTGACTAAATATCATCAAATATAAAAAATAACTTAGTTTAACTTTTTTTTTAATAATAAAAGTAATAAAAAATTAAAATAATAAATAATAATTAAATATAACTTACTTTTTTGCTTATTAAACAAGTATCGGATGGTGATCTTATCATATTGAAAATTAATAAATTAGTTGATCTTTGATATTTACGTGGTGGTAACTGTGGTGGTCTTACTATATCTATTTCATGTGATCTTTTAAAGTTAATATCAACAACATTATCATCATTGTAATTATTATTAGTAGTAGTATACATATCAATATCATCATTATTTCGACTTACACAATGAACATGATGTTGATATGGATAATCATAAGGATTAAATGAATTACTATGCATTAAATAGGAAGACTTTTTCTTATCATGACTTTTTACATGTTCAATATTTAAACATTGTAGATTTAATACACCACTAAATTTTTGAAAATCATGATTATTTTCTATATTGGTATTATCAAAGTCATAGTTTGGTTCATATGCTATATTTATTTGTAATGTATTCAATTCATTACGATGAATATTATGTGTTTTATCAATAATCGGTATGTTCATTTGATTATTATTTTCCATTCGGTAAATTTTATTTATTTAGATTCGAATGTAATAAGTTTGCTAAAACAACTATGATATATATGTATATATTCGAATGACGGACAGGTATTTCAAGAGTATTCCACTGAATTTTATTCGTTCAAAAATATGCTTATTTCCACTTACTGTTATGCAGAGTAATATCTACGAACATTATTGATTACTGTTTGAATATATTTCAGTGATATATTATTTCTACGGTTGTTCGATATTATTCAACACTGACGAACAATTTATGTTTCCATGTATTTTGGATAAGAAAAATATATTTATTAGCCGGTTTATGTTTACAATAAAGTGGTATAAGCCGACTGATAATAATGCCAGTAAAAAAGAAGCAAATTAAGCAATCGTCTTAGAACCAATAGAAAACGTGGATAAAAAATGAATCGTTGCTATGACAATCAATTATAGTTTTTACCAATCTGATTCTTGAATACAAAGTATTAATAAAGAAATAAAATCATAAGAGAAATTTTTTCATAGTTCACATCACAGAATAATCTTAGTTAATCACAGGTTGAAAGCTGGATAACTTTTGAAAGATGCTCCATCTTAATGTGGAACTCCTTAATAATATTCCTTTAGTCTCCACAGAGAGCGCTTAACCATATGACCACCAAGCTGGTGTACATGTCTAACTATAATTAATTAGGTATATCGATCTGAGGTGACTCCACCTGGAGCCCTTCTGGGGCTACTGCCGGTCCCAAGCCCGGATAAAGGAGGAGGGTTGAACATGGGGTTAGCGACTTTATCCCATAAAAAACTAACTCGCCGAAAAAATAATAACCAGAAAAAATAATTCAAACCATGGAGTTGAGGTGAGTAATTGATTAACACCCGATATTATTGAACAATGGTTATGGCTCCTCTTTAGAACTAAAGGTTAGGCATCTCAAAGTTAGTCAATAGTGAGCCCATAAAAATTATAAGCAAAGGGGAATTTGTGAAGCTAGTAGAATATTCATAATTTGTGTCACGCATTGATTTTAGCAAGCTGAACGAATGTAGACATGTGCACAAATGGTTGTCGGTCCAAAAGTCCGGAGCTTATGCGTTATCGAGGGGAACTGAAGGTTCTCGGCTTGATCCCCAGGAGAATACTGGGTACACACTGCTAAGAATTTCCATGCTGGAACGAAACAGCCTCCTAATGCTTTTTGGTTTTCAAGGAACATTTAACTTAAATCAGTTTGTAGTGTTATATGGACTAAAATGTTCACCAAAACATTTATACACAGTCTTTTGTTAAATTTAATTAATTGTTATTAATCACCAATAATCACTTCAAGTTAACAAGTCTTAAACTTACAACAAATGTTATAATACATTTCATCATAACCTTACAGTATTTCTTAAGATAATTTTTCAATGAGTGTTAATAGATCATATTTTTCCAATTTGTTTGATTACTGCACAAAAGTGGTAAACTTAATGTAGCTAGTAACTAACCTATTAGGTATTACCTTGAGATCGGTGATGATGAACGAAATACTACTTTTATAATAGAAAAAAATATCAGTAATGTCGTGAATAACTACTTGAATATGGTTGATTAATAATGATGAAACTTACTTCGGAAACTTATGAATAAGATTAAGATATTCATGGTAAATGTTATCCAAAATTTCTATTGAGTTTCCACAACTGTTAATCCTTGTCTACTAATAGAAATAATGATCATCTACTGGTTACAAAAAGCTGCTTTGAATAACTAGATCTAACTTTCAAAGCTTCATGACCATTCCCTAACTCACTCAATTTAAATATCAGTGAATTTGAAAATTTGCACACATTTCAAAAAATGAACCAAGATGGACCGATAATATTTTTATTTTTTGTTAGGTCATGAAACACTGGCAGACCAATTACTGACTATTGGTGACATTATTTTTTCTGGATGCTGTGATAAACAGTTGATCCGCCAGTGGAATTGAAATAAAGTGACGGATAAATAAATCAGTCACTACACCTCGTATTACGAAGGTCACATAACAATTTAATATAGAATTGTCATTCGACCTTACGACATTAAGATATTTTGGTCGTCCACATTCACCGTTATTCAACATTTTCAAAGTCAAAATGCCAAAAAATATTGTACACTGCCTTATTACTACTGGGATTGATCTATTGTTTAGAAGATTTTGCCAAAATTCAGTCCTAAAAACACTCAAAGAAAATTTCACGATGTATTGTATCTGGGTTGACCTTCACAAATGTAACAGGACCTTGTGCAGCTGCTCTGAACCAATACCTAGTTTAGGTATGAGTGAAATTTATTTGGAAACTGAATTAGCCCCGATGAACTGGTCGTTAATAAAATCTCTGTAGAGACACACAAATTTAGAATTGGACTGTCTACACACCATGATGTAAATTAGTTATCACAATCTTCATTTCATATTTTGCATCTCAGTTTATTTGCTTACATTTTTGTAGCTTTGCTATATGTGATAGTTTCAAACAATACAATGTTGTCAATCAATCTGTTACGTAGCTAGAATGATATTTATCTTAGTTTTCACAACTTCGCTGTTTATTCTATAAAACAAATAAACTACATGCTTCTTATCACGGTAACATCAAAAACAATATGAACTTCTGCTCTCTGAGGCATCTTGAAAATATTGAGCCATTGTATTCTTTTGAAAAACGAGATGTGTATTATTGTATAAATGAATTTGGAATTCTTCGTAAGTTTTCTTGTTTTAGTAAGTTCGAAATAACGGTTGTTGAATAAACCTTCTGAGACAAAAAATAACTGTTAAAATTCACATTGGGTCTTAAAAAAGTAACTACTGTCATGTTTTTAGCGTTCCAAAGAAAAGATAAAACTCAAACAATAACTTATACACAGCTTTAACTGAAGGGTTAAACAACCATTTTAAATTGAGACAAATCATTGATAATAATGTTAGCAAAACGATATGAATCCGTTTATTTTGTTAATTCTCTTCAGATGCTTACAGTCTTAAGCGATAGTAAGAATTATTCGAATATAGGATTCGAAGATGACATGAACTTTACTAGTCGCTCACAGGTTCAATTAACTCTAGGGGTAATTTACTAAATATTACATAAGTGGAAACTAAAAATCATATGGAGAAAAAATATTTCCATAAATGGTAAACTAGTACCTTCAGTTACGTAATCGTAGATGCATAAAGATTAGTTACATTACGAACCGATCTTAGTTAGACAACTACTAGAAACCAGAAACCCTGGACAGCTGTTTTGTTCAAGTATAGAACCCTTTATTAGTGCACATTCACGATCTTACAAGGGATCATACTCAAAACTTTCATTTATAATGGTGAGCGTTTATGCCTTAAACCAGTAACCCAGTATCTGATGGTTTAGATATCTAACTTTGATCGATTCTCAGTAGTACGCAACTATCTCTCAATGTTATTTGTAAGTAAATATCTGAATATGATCAGTTTGCGATGTAAACTATGAAATTCAACAATTTTTGAAGACAAGGGGATTGTTAAGTGAGTAAATTGGGTTTCAGTACCTCAAGTCGTTGGTTTTAGCAAATTACAGTAGGAAAAAATATGGACACAGCGTATTTCTAATTACTGTATTTACAATTAAAATAAATCTAAACTCCATTCTTTATTATTTATTATAGAATTTCAAAGTGTTCAAAAGCATTTAACATGTATACCACAATGTAAATGAATAATCACACATGTAACTAGTAAAATCATTTCTTATCTATTGTTTCCAGCTAGTCTACCTTCATGTCACTTTCAACTTCAATCAATACCGTTCAGTAAAGGTGATTTAAAGTATGTATTCTAGTTCTTTCAAAATAATTAATTCCATTGTCTTAACGTGTTAACTATAAAACGCAATTCAAAAGATTTAATAAAATCACATTGTTCAATTATGAATGTTGCATTGGTTTTAATGAAATTTATAAAATGGGAGGATTACACAAAATAATTTAATTTGCAAAAATACCTGAACTTAAAATTTTCTTACTAATCAACATTAAAGTAGTTATTATAGGTTTGAAAAGTGTTTTTTCTATGAAAATTTACTTATATAAAATCTGTTTTGTTGATAATAATAATAATAATAATAATAATAATAATAATAATAATAATATTTGTAGCAATAATAATACTACTATAAATAAGAATAATATATTTGTAAAATCCCAGTGAGTATAAAAATTAAGTTTTTAAATTTTTTGACATTTCGTGACTCAGAGTAAGCCAGTTCTTCAGAAACTAGACATGAACTGACACAAGTAGGCACCAAATTTATATGAACCATACCGCCATTAGATTTATGTGAGGGTTGGAATACTACCTGGTCGCCCAAACCGAAGCAGGTGGTTTTCTTAGTAGGTTACTCCCTGAATTGAATAGCGTTAAGAGATGCAGTTCCATTGTGGCTGGTGATCAACAATAGGTTCATATGCTATTTGTTCCCTCAGGACCCTGGAGCCCATGTGCACCAATTTTTTTTTTGAAATCAGGGTTTTCTAACTGCCCTAGGTGGGTCGTTCATATCCACCAACCCGGATAAAGCAGTGGACATTCACTTTTCATCCTCTCGATTTCGCGAACAACACCCTCGCCTATAGAAGAAAGAGAATAGTACTTTCCTGGCAATGGTTGTATGCGCGTGGCCATACGAGGGTATTTTGAAATGGAGTGCAGACTCTCCACCGTCAGCCGTACTAGGGCATTTGAATTTATTTATCTCTTTCTTTATTTACAAATAGAACAAATGATAGAAAGTTTCAGTAGACATTATTTATGTAAAATCTATTTAACATTCATCATATTATGAATTTTTGTCATAAACCATGCATGTAAAAAGACTATTTCCTGATTGACTAACAACTGGCTGAAATATTTGGCGATTTTTTTGAGCTTATCTCTAAACTATACTTTTATAGAACTTGTTTTTCAAGTTGATGTACTATAATAACTTCATTGAGAAATCTCATTGAT